ACCCCAAAAGGGACCCTAGTTAAGAGAACTGCCCACCAGGCTTCGGGCAGAATCGGCGATGGCCTTTGCTGCCAGGATGTTCGCCTCCACAGTTGGGGGCTAACGCTCTGAGCAGCGATCTCGGTCTAAATACCGGGGCCTTAATCATTAGAATAGGGCGTTGGGACCCATTATACTATATTTCTAATAAGGAACCCCCCAAAATAGTTCAGGTAATGCTTTAGGCCCATATATTAGCAGGCTTAGGGTCCAGGGAGCCTAGATTGGATACCGAGGCTGTGGTCTGCATCTTCAGCCGCACACGATGAGAGACGAGCACTCGCAGAGGGAAGGTCGATATCGGACGGCTGAGGTGAGGCTGTGATAACCCAGACCCCTGGCCCTGTACTACTAAGGGTACTTTATAGGGACCCCCATTAAGGGATCTACTTTTTGGATCCTCCCGAAAATCTTGGGAATAGAACCTCATAAGCGGCACGGAACGACCCACAAGCCACCATTTCAAGCCGAACTCTCCCACACTGACTTGAAACAGTTTACCCCCGAAGCCCTGAGCCCTGAACCTTATCTCTGAAGCCCTCTGCCCCACATGTCAGACCTTCAAAGCTCAGACTCGCCCTAAGTCTTAAACACTGAACCTGTAGCTTCCTGTTCAGCTGTGAGTTCAGGGTTTAAGGGTTTGGGGGTTTAGGAATTTAGGGTTTCGGGTTTAGGGTCCTAGGTTTAGGGCTTTGGGTTTAAGGTTAAGGGTTTAGGAGGCTGTCGTTTTGAAACATTGTTTGTCAGTTATTTTCCTGCCTGTTACGGTTGGAATTCCACTACGGGATAGGGTTTAGGGGCCGTAATAATTAGAATAGGGTTATTTATTTGGGGTATATTATAACGAACCCCCCAAAAATAGTACAGGTAATTATTACTTAGGCCCCTACAGTAGAAGATTTTGGGTTTAAGGGCTCTTGCGGAGAATCACCGGGCGCCTTATGCGCATCGAGGCCGGAGAGACGTTTCTTCTTCGCCTGCTCCTGCCAGCAGCGAGAAGTAGGGTTTGCTAGGGTTTAGGGCCTTTCTTCTTAAGTGCAGTGTCGTCTTTCTGATGAAGCACAGGGTTTACGGCTTAGGTCAGGAACTTTGTGAGGGTTGTGTAGTCGGCATGTCGGCTGTTTGCCGTGCCTTGATAGAGCACATTGGGCTTGACGGTACCCTGTTTAGGGGCGCTTTCTAGGGTAGTATCGTCGCCACAATTTGCGATTCAATCAGAAGCATTGATGCCAGCGACCGCAAAGCTAAACCGCTAAGAAAAGCCGCAGGAGGGCCTGAGCCCAACACTCAGCTTCGCACATCATGAACTACAAGGGTTTTGTAGTATATGGGGGTTTCCGAAAATAGGGGGTCCTAATATAGTACCCTAAATAGTAGGATCCCTAAAAATTACAGGCCCCTCCGGAACCCCATGTGCCAGGGAGTCCTCAACCTAAAATCCGGTAAGACAGCCGACCTGTTCGTATTCCTTGAAGGTCGAAGTGCAAGTCTCCCATCTGAAAGCTTCACCCAGGAACTTCGCGGTTGCTAGTTCAAGATGAACCCGATCGATAACAGGTCGATAAATGGACGCATGGATAAATGGATAAGTAGATAGAAACGAATAGAGGCACATTGTAGTTATAGTCGAACGTACACACCCATCCATATAGTTTCCCTTACAGGAACCTCTTCAAGGAACCCTATAGTACCCCTGTGGTATCCCTTAAAGGAACCCTTCAAACGAAACCTACCGTACCCTTACTTAGAGTACCCCTCAAAGAAACCCATAAGAGGAACCCAGACGTACCCTTATAGTATCCCGTAAAGGAACCCTTTCAAGGAACCGTATACAGTACTTACCTTTGGTTAGTAGGGAATGGAAGATTGGTAGGAATAGTAGTCATAATTGTACCCCATTCCTCCATTCCCGACTAACCCAAGGTAAGATTACAGTAGAAGCCAGAAAATTGGAATATCATTATCGTAACCCCTTTAAGGTAAATTATAGGGGATCCTACCATTAATCCATATTCCAACTTTCTGGAGTTCCCTTTATAGGATTATTATTGCCCCAATATTATAGTAACCCTTATAGACCCCTTTAGAATATTATAGCACCCTTATAGACCCCTTTATAATATTATAGTAGCCCTTATAGACCCCGTTATAAGGCCCTGCAGGTGTTGTCCGCCGCATGTCAGCTCGGGAGTCTCTAGCTCGGAACCGCGGTTCCGGCTGCTAAACCGGACGACCACCCGTAGAAGTCCAAACCGCGTCCATATAGATGTCCTTATGTATATATATGTATATATATATATATGTCTACGCATATAGATATACATGTATGTACACGCATACAGTAATAATTAAAATCAATGTGTGTGTATGTATATACATGTGTGTACAAAATCTTTCTTGAGATAGATGGATCCCAGTGCTGCGCTGTAAACATTTGGGGCCACTATCGAGGCCTGCATCTGCTAAGAGGCAGGCCACGATGACATGAAGGCCAGGCGTCCGGAGGAGGAACGTGGCGAGAACCAAAAACGTGATCTCCAGCTAGCTGCAATATATTCTAGTCGGTTATAACAGGTTATGTTATGTTGTACTATATTCTGTTGTATTTGTTATATTCTATTTCTACTGTATTATGTTTTGTTAGGATACCTATATATATATATATATTCTACATATTGTATTATATGAATACAATATATGATAATTTACTAATTATAATACTTTATGTTATAACATGCGATATTCTTGATATAATATGTTAGGTTATACTATTTTATATCATACTATATTTTACTATATTATACTTTATTAGCGCATACTAGCAGTACTGCAGATTAGCTTCTATCGCCGGAGTTCCAGCCCCCCTACCACCAGGAGCAGAGAGATCCAATGGAGATCTTCGTAGGGAGGACCTCTTCGTCCAGACCAAGGGCAGACAGGATTCATGGGCTGAGATGAAGAGCTGGAGTTAAGTGGTGGTAGGTCTAGTATATCATATTATACTATACTAAAACTATATTATACGATACTATATATATATATATATATATATCGTCTTATGGCTCTTCAGGAGCAGGGCGCACCCTCCCCGAGCTCAGGCTTTGGGCCGCTCCCAAGTCGAGTCTCCAGTCGTCCTGGGCTTCGGAGCGCAGAGGCGCTGCCAAACCGTGAGGATTTAGGGTTTAGGGGTTTAGGGGTTTAGGGGTTTAGGGGTTTAGGGGTTTAGGGGTTTAGGGGTTTAGGGGTTTAGGGTTTAGGGGTTTAGGGGTTTAGGGGTTTAGGGTTTAGGGTTTAGGGTTTAGGGTTTAGGGTTTAGGGTTTAGGGTTTAGGGTTTAGGGTCCAGAAAGGACGAAGAGAGAAAGAGGCCTGAATCATTAGAATAGGGTTCCTTTTAAAAGGGGGTCTAGAAGGGTTACTATAAGGGCTACTATAAGGGTTTAGTATGGGGGCCTGAATGATTAGAATAGGGCGTTGGGGCCTGTTATTATATACTATAGTTATAAATAAGCAGCCCCAAAAATCTGAGGGGCCGAAGAGGATTAAGAGAGCAACGGCCTTTAGGCTTGGTGCTTGCGCGACATGGCACGAGAGAAGGCTGGCTGGCCGACAACGGCAAGTCTACTCCATGGCTGGAACCGAAAGTTGGGTAGGCAGCCGATCAAGGGCCTCCTTATAGAGGGACCTGGCTAACTGGAATAGGATTTTGGGCCCATTTCTGTAATATTACAACACGGAGCCCCCAAAATAGTGTAGGTAATGAAGGTAAGTATTAAGGCCTCTATATGGAGTTTCCGAAAATAGGGACCCTAATATAATATCCTAAATAGTAGGATCCTAATTATCAGGACCCAGGTACCCCTGATTTTCGGAAACTCCCATATTAAGTGAGCTTCTGGGCTGCTGAAGCGCTTTGGCATCCGAGCGGCGTATTCCAGAAGAAGGGCTGAGAATACTGCTCGCTCCAGTGCTCCTCCCAACCTGGGCATCCGAGACCGAACCCTGTCTGATTACATCACATAGTTTTGGTAGGTACAAGAGCTACAACGAGAAAATATGACAGCATCATGATACAGTATATTGTATACATATATAGATATAGATATATAGATATATATATATATATATATATATAATTATGTGTGTATATATGTATATATACAACTATATCTGATCCTACGGTCTTGGGAGGCCCCGGGTATAGTAGGACTATATGAGGGGGGGATCGTCGGAAAGGCTAGTGGAGTCCGCGCCCTGAAAGCCAGCCCCCTTAATACAGGGGCCTTAATAAATCGAATAAGGTTTTGGGGAAAGTCGGAAAGTCGGCACAGACCTCTTCAGACACAATGCTCTTCCGATACACCGTACGATCTATCCACGCTAGAACAGCTCTCTAGCCGCTTTCTCTGCTCATGTCTCTGATAAAGGTTAAGGCGGGAAATCCAGGCGTAGGAACTTGCGAACAGGCTTGGGGCCCAAAAAAGCTTCACGGAATGACTTTCCGAGATTCAGGTGGGGACTCACCGTCTGGGGCCCCTCACCCTCCGGCAGCTTATCCGACTTGCCACTCTTGCCCTTGCCGCTCTTGCCACCCTTGCCTGGCAGCAAGCTTCTTGGGGCGCACTCAACTTCACTTTTTGGGTAGGGGACAAAACCCTTCCTGCACTGGTCATGGATCCTGAAACATGCGAGTGCAAGTCTTCATCCAACTAGAGCTGGACCAACTGAAGATGGCCCATCCATGCTGCCTTTGCCTTCCTTGCCACCCTTGCTGCCTTTTCCGTCCTTGCCACCCTTACCTGACGGGCCGGGGCTTGGACTGAACATGAACGGTTTTCCATGACAACAATGCCCGAGAGACTCGACAACTTAGGCTTAAATTTGTCTAGCATCTCACATAGCGCTTCTGCCTTCAGGGCCGGGGCACCCCTCCACTCGCAAAAACAACATGTCTGAGCTCGGAAAAGTTGTCGTGGATTCTCGTCCCTGCTCCCGAGCTGGCTGCCGAGTGCAACTAGGCTGCCGGTGGACGGCGCGGGGCCAGTCCTGTGAAGAGCATCAAGAAAGCTAAGACGTCGCACAGCAAACAAACACATCTAGCAGCAGGCTCTGCTGGTTTGATCCGAAGTTCATTGAGAGGCATACCACCTTCTTTGGGCTTCAGGGTTCACGCAGGAGTCAGACCAGGAATCTGGGATAACGTGTTATGGAAGTCCGAGGGGTGTAAGCCAGCAATACATTGGTGACCAAAACCCCCCCCCCCCCCGCCCATGTCCTCGCTCGCTTCGCAGGGCCCCCAGGGTCGGAATCGTACTCGCGTTTCCGAACCTGCCATGCCGGCTACGGCTCTACTGAGATTTGGGAGTTTCCGAAAATTCGAAGATTAGGGGTACCTTATTTTGGGGTCCTTATAATAAGGAGCTTTGCAGGATCCCCCCAAGCTGATAGGGCCGACCGTAAGCCTGAAAGTCTTGACTTCCGAGTAAAGCATAACATAGTAAACTTTAGTCTACAGTGTACTATGGTATGCTAAAACTATCTCACAGTATACTATAGTATACTATTACGACTATTAGGAGCTCGTCCTCAGGAACCTTGACACAAAGGATGGCCTGCTGGCCAGCTGGCTCTCGGAAGCTCGTGGATGCGGACTTGGAAGAGCCTTTCCCCTGCGCACGGGCTTCGCAGTGTTCGGGTTGGTCGTTGCTGAGCTTTGTAACTGCCATTACATCATTCTTACCTCTAGTACTACTACTACTACTACTCCTCCTCCTCCTGCTGCTGCTGCTGCTGCTGTTGTTTCGAATATCTAGCATTCTTTTCTTCTTACCACTACTATTATTGCTACTACCATTAGCAACTCAACCGGGGCTTCGAAGGGAGCTCTCGCAGGAGATCTCGTAGTTTGCGGCAGCTTCCCGAGCCTTGCTTTTGCCTTTGGCTCCAGAGAAGCGCTGGCTGCGCTCCTCCTCGCTGATGCTGCTCTTCCTCCTCAGCATAATAAAAGAGCTACATATATCGACGTATAGTAGTATATAGTAAGGTATCATGATATGTAGTAGCATATGGTAATGTACAGTCATAGAGTACTACATACATATATATATATATATATACAAACTTACAAACAGGCTTGCACGGGTGAAAACGGAAACGCATGGGCGCACGATACCCACATCTCATGACGGGGCAACTGGGACAACATCTTCCGTCGTAGACTTCTGAAGGATGATGCTTCACGCGGCCAAAGCTCCCATCATCACTCGAACACAGAAAACGGAAATCAATGATGTGGACTTCTTCCGGTCCTCCAAGCTCTGAATGCATGCTGGACCCGTGCCCACCTTTTGCGGCTCGAGAGTCGTGGAGGGGTTTGCGAGCTTCGTCGGCGCCGGAAGTGCTGGACGAGCAGAACCAGACTTTGACTTGCCCTTGCCGGCTGTGCCTGCACCGCTCCAGCTGGTCAGACACGGGACTTTGTGTCTCTGACTTTAGGGCAGTAGAGCAGGGTTCTGAGATTTGCGGTACGTTGCGTTTCGGATTTAGGGTTTCGAGCGCGCCTTTCCCTGCGCTTTTGCCGCTGGAGCTGTCGTCTCGGGACTTCCACTGGTCATCCTGCACGAAGGGTTTTTTCGGGTTTAGGGCCCGTGCTCCGGAAGCTAGCGAAGAGCATCCGAAGCCGGGCGGCTGTGAGTCAAGAGCTAAGGCTCTATCATGGTTCGCACACCATACCCGGATCCCCCAACATGAAGACATTGAGGGGCTGAAGTTCCAGGTGAAGTTGAACTCAGGGTTTGCGCTCTTTGCTTCGAAGCGGTAGCTTCCCGGGGCTACTGCAGGCTCCAAGAAGCTGCACTGAAGTTTCCGAAACTTCGGAGACCAATATAGGATTAGAATAGGGTTCCTTTTTTAAAGGTCTATAAGGGTTACTATAAGGGTTTAGTATAGGAGCATAGGGACCTCAATGACTATGTAAGTATAATACTGTCAGAAACCCCAAAAGAGGCTTTGAAATTATGGAGGCCCTTAGGTTACACCGCGGTGCAGCCTTGGACCAAGAGCTGCTTTTGGACTCCCAGCCATCTTTCTTCCAGCTATCTTTCTTCCAGTCATCCTTCTTCCAATCATCCTTTTTCCAGTCGTCCTTTTTCCAGTCCTCCTTCTTCCAGTCATCCTTCTTCCAGTCATCTTTCTTCCACGATGGGGCGTTGTCCTCCAGCAATGCTCAGAGCAAAAAACACCCTGCCTGGGCCCGGAAGCCCGGAATATTCCTTAAAGCCAAACCCAATGCCCCATAAGCCCTACGCTTGAAACCCCCTCAAAATGCAACCAGCTACACTACGGCGGCAATCCGTTTCGCCGTGCTCCCAAAGCGATCCCTGCCGTCGAGCCGGATGCATAATGTAGGGACCTCAATAATTAGAATTGGAGTTGGCCGTATATTAAGCTGTAACTGTAGTAAAGAGCCCCCAAAACCTTATGATAATAGTTAACGTGCCTACATTGCATGCAGGCATGGCCCTCTGCAAATGCCACTCATGTAGGCTCATGCAGGGCTGGCTGTGTAACACCCTATAAATCCATCCTGGATACCCTGAACCCTACCACCTTAAGAGAGCCTCTGGGGCCTCGGGGCCGAGTCTTCCGAAATCCCCGAAACCCCAAACCTCGAAAGCCACTATAGGGGCTTAAATCATTGTTAATCACTGGGCTCCTTATTATAACTATGCTATAATGGGCCCCAAGGCCCTTATTCTAATTATTCAGGCCTCTAGCCCTAATCTTGGGACGCGAGGGCGGATCTTCGGTCCCGGTGTTCCGAGGACCCTAAGCTCTGTGGCAGCCACAAGATGACCCGCACACAAAATTACACAAAATTATCTCTATGATATCATATAAGATAACTTTGAGTTGTATGTGTATATATATATATATATATGTATAGACATATATGTTATATATATATATATATACATATATATATATATGTAATATGTATCTATATATATCATATTTCTTATATCATATTATTTTGTATTCATATCGAGACGCAGTGGCTCCTTCCAGTTGTTCTTCCACTTGTCCTTCTCCTCCCAGTTGCTCCACTTTGAGCTGGAGCCTTGATTTGAGCCCTGCTTTGACTGGCCGTTCCTTGCAGGGACTGAAAATTAGAGTTTCCGAAAATAGGGGACCCTAATGTAGTATCCTAAATAGTAGGATCCTTCTTCTAAGGACCCTGAAATAAGGACCCCTAACTTTCGGAAACTCCAAACTGCACCAACCAATGTAGAACCCATCGCTTCGAGCCGATTTCCGATCCGAGCCTATGTTTTGGACATTCGGGTCCACGGTGTACCAAGGGTGTCTTGCATTTTTGTTTTGCATTGTTAGGCTGAAAGGGCTTCACAACTTTGGAGATGCGCGATTGCAAGTTCCTGCAAGCGTTCTTCCCAGCCTGTACTGGTCCTGCTTGGACTTGTAACCATCTCGCTCGGAGTCCTCCCACACAGGGATGAGTCTAGGCTGCGGGCTTGCGGATGCGTTGAGGACTTCTACGTCTCAATAAGGAACGCAAAGGTCGTTGGATCAAGGCAGCAACGTTTGCTACGACTTCGAGAACCCTCGAAGTGGAGGAATGTAAACCAGAGAGTCTTCGTGAAGCCTTGTGCCAAGCTCGAGATGCGAGGCTTGCACCAGAACAGCCCAAAACTGTGCATCTCCAAACCCTCAGAAGTCAACCTGCACGCTCAAACAAGTAAACCACCCAGAGACTCCAATATCCCGTAACTAAGGAATATACCTTAACATATAGTAGGATCCCAATATGATAAGGTATATTCCTGAATTAAGGGATACCGGAGGCTCTGGAAACAACGCGTCTGGCCTTGTAAACCCGTCGGGGAGACCACTGCTCGTCTCCTGGGGTCATTACGAGCAACCGCCAGGCACTGCAAACTCATAGGGCGCTAATAATTCCCAATACTATTTTGGGGGGTTCCTTATTATGACTATGGTGTAATATACCCCAAAACCCTATTGCTGGATCCTCCAAACGATCCTCCCTACAAAAAGCGCAGCTCTTTTATTGGTGATTGCGGGCAGGTGCTGACTGAAGCAAGTGACTATCGCCAGCGACCCTCTTGTCTTGTGCAAACCGCGAAAGCCATAACAGGCCATAACAACCTCACCTCGAGCTAATTCCATCTGGAGCCTGCACGCAGAAACACACTCTAGCTGCACGCTTGGCCGCTATTGTAGGAATCTGCCTTGCCCTTGGGTTTCCAGTCGGACTTGTCGTGGGCCTGCCTGGGTCTTGAGTCGCTTCAGACTCGAACTTCGGAATCGAAAGTTACGGTTGAGGGTTTAGGGTTTGCGGTTTAGGGTTGAGGGTTTAGGGCTTAGGGTTGAGGGCTGAGGGTTGACGGTTTAGGGGTATGCTGCTAATGTTGGCAAAATCCCCCTTTATCCAGAATCAGGAACGCACGAAGAGTACTCAAGGTTTGTCCATCAGCAGTATGTCCAGCTGCCTTTAAACAGCCTGGGTGCCAGGACCGATGGGCCTGCGACTTTGAGGCCGTCTTGCCCTTGACTCCACTAGCCTGGGCTCGGACTTTGCTTCAGAGTTCACGAGAAGATGCTGGATCCAGATATAGACCTTGACTAACCGGATCGCTACCGCAGGCTCCGAAACTCGGTGGGGCCGTGCTAGGGCGAGGAGGACTGGCGATGAGGCGTGAGGATCTTTCGGCCGTACGGAATCTCGAAAACGCTTCGTTGCAACTTGGCTGGTAGTTACCTTTCAAAGGGCTACCCAAAGCAAGAGTGACCTGTGTACGCTTGTTGGGGGTTTCAGCAGCCTGGGCTGCAAAACGAAACCCCGGTCCAGTTGTGGGTTCTCACAGGCCATGCTTACGCCTGGAGCACAGCTTCCGGAACTCTGGAACAAACCTTCAGGAGCCTTGCGTCTACTTTTCTGGACTGGGGACATGAACTAAATTTGAGCCTGCGGGCTGCTGAAACCGCTTCAGGAAACACCCGACAAGGATCATCTGCAATGCACAAGAAAGAGCATGTCGGAGCACTTTTCCGAAAACCGGAGAGGATCCCCTTGAAGGAACCCCCGGTGACTCACCCAGCAGCAGAGCCCTTGGACATAGTCTGGCCAGAGCCTTTGCCCTTGCCGCTGCTGTTCCCCTTCCAGCCCTTCTCCTGGCCCGGCAGGCCCAAAACGCATCATGTAGGGGCCTTAATAATTAGAACAGGGTTTGGGTACCCATTATACTATAATTATAATAATGTCAGGAACCCCAAAATAGTATTGGTAATTATTTTGGCCCCTGTATTGATATCCCCAATGATCGTGCGTTCTTCGACTTGGATCGTTGCATGAGGGTTTCGGAATCTCTGCTTCAAGTTTCACCACCACTTTGGGGAGGAGAGCCGTGGTGTCTGTCTGTGAATACTTCCGCCTCAGCACAGCGAGGCCTAAATTGACTCTCGCTGTATGCCGGCAACATGTCTGAGCTCGTGGGATCGAAGAAGCACTGTCCTGTCTCGGATTCGCGTAAAACTTGACTGCGGCCGGGATATTAATGAACCGTTCGGACATTCATGGAAACCGTGGATCCGGTGTTCCCGGAGATGCCAGGCCATTAATGGCAGACTAGAACCAGCTCAGAGGGTGCGTGAGCTGATTGGGCAAGCAGTGCAGACACATGAGCCAAACCCGATGAAACTTGCTTGTCGTTTCTCAATCCGTTCCTTTGCGGCTGCGCTAGCTGCCATAATCCCTGTAGCGTCCTTAACACTGATATGGGCGGTTGTCAAAATTATGGTCCCTTTTTGGGTCCCTGTTATAATACGGCACCTATTACTTAGGGTACCCAAATAGGGATCAGAATTTTGACAACCACCCATAAAGCTTACTCAGGGCACGTGAGGCCTGAGGCATTGGCAACTCTCCGCAAGCTTGATGACAACGGAGCCTTCATCCTCTTCCCCACTTGGAGGACCATGGGACGTAGCAAGGACACAAGTACCTTAATTAAAGTCATCGGTAATTCAAAGAGCACCTCGTTGATAACCCTCGTTTCTAAGTCCCATGATCCTTTAAACCCTCGACTCCCCCTTGAAGAGCTGTTTACGAAGCCCCTTCAATTTAAGGAGCCCTTTAAAGAGCTATTTACAAAACCTCTTAGATTTATGGAAACCTTTCTGGAGCCCTCTAAAACAGAGCCCTAGGATACCAAGACCCAGCCTGGCCTTCGATTTGCCCTTCGCGCCCTTGCCTTTGCCACCTTTGCCCTTCTCTCGAACCTGCTGGGATAGGATTAAAAATTTAGATTTTTATTCCTTATTGGGTTTAAGTAAAATGTTAGCCAACTATGACAAAGGAACGGGCTTCGGTGGCGCGGCATCTTCGGGCGCCGGCGGCTCACCCTCCTTCAGGATGGTATACGGGCCTTCATAGTTAGAATAGGGGCTCCTTTGGGTTGGGGATCATCATGGAACCGCTTTGGGAGTCTTTGTTGACTTGGACTTGAAGGCAGCACTGAGCCTATAAAGCAATACCTTTTTGGGGCTGCCTTATTATGATAATAGTATAACGGGCCCCAAAAGCCTATTCTAATTATTCAGGCCCCCGACACTAAACCCTTATAATAGCCCTTATAGTAGCCCTTATCGACCCCTTTTAAAGGGAGCCCTATTCTAATTCTTAAGGCCCTGTATTATAGAACCCTACTATAGATCCCTTGTAGAACCCTTTAAAGCAACCCTTAAAGAAACCCTCATTCTCATATTTAAGGCCCCCAGATTAGATAAGGCTGCATCTGCAGGTCCTTCTGCGCGAAGGAGTGGTCTTCGCCTTGGTTCTGGGGGAGCAATGCAGGGGCCTCAAAAATTAGAATAGGGCTCCCATGACAGGGATCCAAAAGGGCTACTATAAGGGATGTTATTAGGGTTTGGAGTAGGGGGCTTAAGAAAGTAGAATAGGGTTTTGGGGCCCACTTTACTATATCTATAATAAGGAACCCCCAGAGGGATGATTAAAGCCCCTCTAGTGCCAACCGCCGGATTCTGAGGTTCTACACTTAGAGCCCAAGTCACCAAATCCGTGAAGTTGCGGGCGAAACAGGCTGCAGTTCTGAGCCGCTTTCTTGGCTAGTTATTCTATTGTACTGTTTAGGGTTTAAGGTTTAGGGTTTAGGGTCATATATTGTATTCCTTTAAATTGGATTATCCTGTATTGTATGACGTTGCATGGAACTGGCTGTTGCCGGTGGATGTGTGAAAAGAAACAACAGCACCGGCTGTTCAACCCACGCAAAGCAGTCGGAGTCGCAGCAATGGCATGTAATTTCTTTCTCCTTTTCGACTTAACTCATCACTTTTGTATTACCAATGCGAACAACAAGTAAGAAGCTGTAATAGTAGAACAACGGTAGCAAGTACACTTGCCCGAGTAGATACCATGATGCTCGTAATTATACTTGCTATCTTTATCACTGCTGTTGTTTCTATTGCTATTACTACTATGCTTTGCTATTGTGGTTATCATCACTGTTATTGTTATTCCTAACGCTGCGGTTATCCTTCCTGTCATTTATCTTGTAATGCGCAAAGTTGCTTCGGACCAGCAACCGACACTTCGCCGTGTCGGAGTGGCCCATGCCTCGCTTGGGGGTTCTATAAGGGATCTATAGTAGGGTTCCATAATACAGGGCCTTAAGAATTAGAATAGGTCTCCCTTCAAAAGGGGTCGATAAGGGCTACTATAAGGGCTATTATGAGGGTGTAGTGTTGGGGCCTTAACAAGTAGAATCGGGGCTTGGGCTCCTGAACACTAGAATTACAACAAGGAGCCCAAAAGAATAATGCAGGTAAATGTTTAGGCTTCTACATTAGTGAAAACTTGAGGGTTCCTTGCCGAAAGCTTATGCGCCCTACATTAGGGTTTTGGGGCTTTTGAGTTTCGAAATTCGGGAGATTGAATTTTTTGGGCTTGGGTTGCAGAGGTTTACAGTATCCAACACTCACCGTTGTCGAGTTCTGGAAGAAACTTCTCACTTCAACTCAACTCTCTGGATTGCAACTCTGATTCCTTATTGGGTCTAAATACCCATAAGATGTAAAATGTTACCCAACTATGACAAAATTGAGGCACCGCCGTTCTTGGTGAAGGTGATCGCCACACCGTTTTCCACCGCAGTCTTAAGGGCAGAAGACTCGATGTAGTTGCCCTCCACCTGCAGCCACCCTTTTCAACTTTACAACTCCCTTTGGGTTTGGGGCTTTGTCGCCCGTCTCGGTCGCTCATGCGATCAGGGGTTAAAGCTCCAGGCATGCGTACTTCTGAGCCTCAGGCTGTGGACACAATCTCTCAAGTCGCAATCCTCAACCCGACGACCCTCTCTTTGATAACTCGAGCCGTGCCACTCGCATGTAAATTGGCAGCTGCCCGCGCTGCGGGTTGCGAGGGTCCGTTGCAGGAAAAACGTCATTGTCGGTCAGTGCATCCTGGAGTCTCCCGGTTTGGAAGGACATCATAAACATGTATACATACATACATAGATATATATATATATATATATAGATATAGATATAGATATAGATATGGGTATAGATGTATATACTTATTCATATGTTATTCAAAAAACATTCTACTTATACTCATGTATATATCTATATATATATACATATATATATATACATATATATATATATATATATTACTCGTACATACTACATGATATTCATAATACAGGAGCCAATGCTTACCTATACCATTTTGCGGGGCTTCCTTGTTAGAGGTATAGTATACCATACCCCCAACACCCTATTCTATTTGTTAAGGCCCCTACATTAGGGAAGGACGTTACGAAAGCAGACATTCGGCTCAGGGTTTGGGGCCTGTGATGCGCCGGGATCTACCCAGAGAACCCAATACCCCTTGATTTAGGAATATAGCTTAAATCATAATATGAAGCCCCCTATATTTTAATTTATATTCCTTAATTAAGGGGTATTGGGATCTCTGAGTATGAGGGTCTTGAACACGTGACCCATGCGTGGAATACTTCGTGCAAGCTCTGCCTTCCCAACACCTAGGCTCGGTCTCATGAAGCCCAGCACAACTCCCGACCGAGGGACCATGATGGCGCGGAAGCCCACAGCTGTCAGCGCGCAATCACCTGGCAACTGCGAGGTTCATTCGATCTGCAAGGGATCTGAAAGGATCCACAAGGACTTCTACAAGGGCTTTCAGAAGGGATCTACAGGTTCTATATGATCTCGAACCTAGTAGCTTTCCGCAAGGTTCCAGAAGGGATCTCGACGGTTTTTCTAAGGGTCTGTTGGTCCTTCTTCAGGGCTTTCAAGTTCCAAGATTGTTATGGTTCCGAGTGTAAGGCCCGGGCTGCGTGGAAGCATGCGGCAATGCCAAAAGCATGTGCCTCTCCCTGAACTCTAAACAAACCCCAAACCCTAACCCTAAAATCCACTTTTAGAATTTTCAGAACTTTCAGTCAAGTCGCTGAGGTGCATCTCGTGCGGAACATTCGAGGAGGTGACCCCTTGCAGGGCTTGCGCCGATTGGCTTCCCGGGGTTCTCGTGTAGAACATCGTGGAACTCTACTTTGCCTTACTATACTATCTATACTATGGTATAGTATAGATAGCGTCGTATAGCTAACTTTACTATTACACAATTCTAATGTCAGAATATACTTATACTTGTAGGAACGGCACGAAAAGGAGGCAATCCCCCGTCCTTGCAGCCACCCAGATAGCAAGATCGCAGCTGTGTCATCGAAAGTGGCGATGCCAAAGGCTCGCAAACGTTCGATGTGAATGGAGGGCGAGGAGATGCTGTTAAACCTCGGAGTGGTGCCAGGCTTCAGGGCCAGAAGGAAGTGGGGTTTAGGGTTTAGGGTTTAGGTTTTAGGGTTTAGGGTTCATCCTGTTAAGGTTAGTTTGGGACTCTGATTCACCCAAACTCAGATGCAAAGACTTCATTTCCAGGCTTGGCTCGCAGCAGACAGAGTGCTCCCGACAATCACTCCAAGCGATGAGGCCATGCACTCCAAATCCCAAACAAACCTTGAGAAATCTCATTATCGGCCCAGGTTGCAGCCTCTATGGCAGAAGGAGAGAGATCACCCTACAATCTGCTACAGCACCCGTCCAAAGCACCTACAACCCCAAAGAAGAAAAGCCCTGCCTGAAAAGGAATCTCCCAAGAGACATCGATTCCGCACGAGAATCCCTGGACCCGGCGCGTACTAAAGAAGCAGCTCAGGTGCATTGTCTCTAAGTGCTCCGTCGGAATGGCATTCCTGGCTTGGGAGCATCCAGAAAGCCACGCGTCGTTTTCTTTTCAGCCCTGTTCTGTCCGAGACTTCTTCGCCTATGTTAAAATGAGGATGCTGACACAGTGATAACCACAATGATAGCAATGATTGGGCGTCCGTGGGGGTCAGGCCGCCGGCCAGAAGCCGGGCAAGTTAGTTCTGATGCGGCGGGCGTCTGCGAGATGTCGAAGTCTTCGAACTTGAGGGTTTCTGCCTTTTCCGCCGCCTGGAGCAGTGCTTCATGACCGGGACATGCTGTAAGACAGCTCCTGTTCACTCGAAGCAGGAATCTAAATTCAAGGCCTCCTCTATTCGTCGGTCGAGCTCGGCGCAAAAGAGCTGAGCATCGCTGTCCTGAAACAGCCACCGAAAAGATCCAGACACCGAGACCACCGCTAGCTTCAGGAATCTCGCCATTCCTGTCTGCAGACTTGGTGCCACGAGCTCTCAAGGCCATCTACTTCCGCAATCAGAAGCCCATAGTGCCCGACAGCTCGTGACGAAGTTTCGTGCAGCCATGAGGCGTCTTTCAGCTTCTGTCGCAGGCAGAGAGCAAGCCTGCCTTCCCCTGAGTTGCGACCCAAGGTGACCCACGGTTGTCATGACACGTGCCGAGATCAAGTTTAGGGCTTAGGGTTGGGGATCCATACCAACCCAACTGGACAAGAGACGCCGCGGCTGGAAAGCGTCTTTAAGCCACTTCGGCGCCTCCTCTACACGTAGGCGCACGAGGGGACGGTTGCCGGTGTCTTCCAGCTTTTGGTCTAGGTCTACGATTTCTGCACGTGGAACGGCAGAGATGATGTCGTAGGCCTCATGTGTGCTACGAACCTTTCACAATCTAGCAGCCATTATCCTATGCCCCCAGCACTGAGCACTCCTCAGGCACTTCAGCCTCGCCCCCTTCGAGCTCTTCCTTGGGACTGAAGTGCAAGTTTGGAGGGGTGTTGCGGAATGCAAGTGTGCAGGAATCCCGGCATACCTTTTGAAACTTGGCACGATGGGGCTCTTCGCAGCACCGTGGAACTCGCCAGAGGGCTGAGACGTTTAGATGTTGACTCCGGGCTTTACAGGAACTTAGGGTCAGAGCCTTGCGGCTGAAGGACACGAGGATCAACAGTGTTTGGGCCAGAAAGTCGCACTGCTGTATAGCAAAACTATCCATGGACAAAAGTGCCTTGGAATCGTTTTCTTCCGGCTTCTCCAAGCTCGTTTTCAGATGACGGACATGAGTGCCGGCAAACAGCTACCATCTTAACTTAAACCCGAATCAAGAGCCTGCGGTGAAGAAAAGCACCCCGCACTCCACACCTTCACACGACGTCGGCAAAGTCGCGAAGGTCTCTGCGCCGGCATCGGCATCGGCATCTGCTTCGCCCGCTGCTTCTTCGAGAAGCTCCTCACAGTGAGAGCCCGTGCCTGACACCCTGGAGGGAGAGACGCACTGTTTTGATCTTGCCTGAGCTATGTCTATGAAACCGCCCAGTTCGATAATGCCGGGAAAGGTTTTCCACGGGCATCAAGCAGAGAAAACCTGCTTACATCGTGCAATCGTGCGACTCCGGCAGGTGCTGAGCACGGGCGAGTCAGGAAGAGGCAAGGAGCCCGAAAGAAACGCAAGACAAGTGTCCGCTCTCATCCCTGAACCTAGGACTGTTTCTCAATGCAACGCGGGAACGGTAGCAGTGGCACGCAGCAGATACCACCAAAGGACGACTTCGATAACACTTTGAGCAGCAAACCTTCAGGTCCAAACGCTGACGTCGTCTAATTTCGGGGTGCACTTTAGATGGTCCCCGACAGAGAATCTATAACTCATAAGCCACCATGCACCTGAACACGTAAGGCTTCGGAGTCGCATACACCTTCTTAAAATCTGGAATCCTGGACGCGAAGCCCCAACGATATCTCCGATTTCGGTTTTGGGGCTTTAGGGTTCCAGGATTTGGGGGCTTCGGGGTTCCAGGGTTTTGGGGGCTTCGGGGTTCCAGGGTTTTGGGGGCTTTGGGGGCTTTGGGGGCTTTTGGGGTTTTAGGGTGTCTCCTCGCCCTCTTCCGGCAGCTCGTCGAAACTGCCGTCCATGGGAGCCTCTTCGTTCCTTGGGCACCATAGACTCCCTCAACTAAGGAATATACCTTAAATCATACAAGTGACCCCATGTTAAGTTTAAAGTATATTCCGTAATTAAGGAACTGGAGTCTCTGGGTGAAAGAGATTGGCTCCTTGATTGCTGCGCCTATGCTTGGACCCGGAGCCCGATTTCCAAAAATCCTAGGACGCCTATGCTGACCCTTTTTGTAACCTTGTTGGGGTTTAGGCTTTAGGGATTACCTTGATCATGTCATGACCCTAATACTAACCCTCATAACGACCCCACGAGTCAGTTTGCGATTTTTTGGGGCTGGGCCGGGCTTTGGGGCGTAGGGTTCAGGGGTTCGTTGGATTTCGGTTCTTGGGGTGTCATTTCTTTTTGGTGGTTGGGGGTTTCTGTGCGTGTTGCTGTTTTCGTTGTTGTCGTTGTTGTTCTTTCTTTTCTCAGGGCTGGCTTCTTAGGTTCTTCAAAAAGAGTTAGAGGCTGCAGATAAAAATCCGACTTGAACAAAATTCTGGGCCAGGAACCCCCAACAATCGAGTCGGAAAATCTCAACTCTCAAGTTACTAGACCCCTAAACCTAAACCCAAATACCGTTCAGGAATTTCGGATATAGCTTGTTCTCAGGCTTACAGGCTCCCTTCTGGGAGCTTAAAGACTTTATGGGCCTTGCCTTTGAGGCCTAAAGCCCTGCAGCGCCTCGCCTGTTGGTTAAACTCCATGATGTCGTTCGGGCTTAGGGTTTAGGGTTTAGGGCTTCGGGCTTTTCCTATTCAGCCTCCATCGGGAGACCCTAGAATAACAAGATCGTCTTGGAGTGTCATCATGCCATCCCGGGCCCCAGAGGGGTACTGCTGGAATGGCTATTGGGTACATTCACTGCTTGGGGTCTATGCCGGGGTGGTTTGGTGTAGAAGCCCGTTCGCCTCTGAAGCCAAAAAGGGCCGTCTTAGCAGCGACCTCAAAATTTAATTGCTACCCCCCACCTCAAACAAATCTAGTGCCTGAAGGTCCAAACGCCCTGAGAAGACACCTGACTTTGGATGGGCACGGGCAAAATGTTGTTCCGGTTCCCTCATCGGTGCTTCCATGTCGGATGGTTACTTTCGGTTGTGCCGATTGCGGGGCAGGAGTAAAACATCTTCGGTTGATCCTGCGCAGCCGCGAACGCGCCGTGACAGGCTTGGATCTGCAACACACGCTCTTCAGCTGATCCTGCACAGCACTACTGTCACCGCCATGGCAAGCAGAACCCCAGGTCACGATGGATCCATCGTCAAGAATGGCTGCAAACGCGCAGTTTGAGGCATGGATCTGCTGCACATTTTTCAGCTGGCCCTGCACAGCACTACTGTCACCACCGTGGCGAGCAGAACCCCAGGTCACGACGGATCCATTGTCAAGAATGGCTGCAAAAGCATCGGCAGAGGCTTGGATCTGCTGCACATTATTCAACTGATCCTTCACAGCACTACTGTCACCACCGTGGCAAGCAGAACCCCAGGTCACGACGGATCCATTGTCAAGAATGGCTGCAAAAGCACCGTATGAGGCTTGGATCTGCTGCACATTCTTCAGCTGATCCTGCACAGCACTACTGTCACCGCCATGGAAAGCAGAACCCCAGGTCACGACGGATCCATTGTCAAGAATGGCTGCAAAAGCATCGTCAGAGGCTTGGTTATGCTGCACATTCTTCAACTGATCCTTCACAGCACTACTGTCACCACCGTGGAAAGCAGAACCCCAGGTCACGACGGATCCATTGTCAAGAATGGCTGCAAAAGCACCGTATGAGGCTTGGATCTGCTGCACATTCTTCAGCTGATCCTGCACAGCACTACTGTCACCGCCATGGAAAGCAGAACCCCAGGTCACGACGGATCCATTGTCAAGAATGGCTGCAAAAGCATCGTCAGAGGCTTGGTTATGCTGCACATTCTTCAACTGATCCTTCACAGCACTACTGTCACCACCGTGGAAAGCAGAACCCCAGGTCACGACGGATCCATTGTCAAGAATGGCTGCAAAAGCACCGTATGAGGCTTGGATCTGCTGCACATTCTTCAGCTGATCCTGCACAGCACTACTGTCACCGCCATGGAAAGCAGAACCCCAGGTCACGACGGATCCATTGTCAAGAATGGCTGCAAAAGCACCGGCAGTGGCTTGGATCTGCTGCACATTCTTCAGCTGATCCTGCACAGCACTACTGTCACCGCCATGGGAAGCAGAACCCAAGGCCACGACCGATCCATTGTCAAGAATGGCTGCAAAAGCATCGTCAGAGGCTTGGATCTGCTGCACATTATTCAACTGATCCTTCACAGCACTACTGTCACCACCGTGGCAAGCAGAACCCCAGGTCACGACCGAGCCGTCGCCAAGAATGGCTGCAAAAGCCATACCAGCTGCTTCAACTTGAACTCTGTTCATGTGCAAGGTCAGTGAGCAACGGTCCAGAAGCCTGGCACGTTTGACCGTCTCGCGTGCATCTGGTATGCTTCCAGAGGCATCCAGCAGGCGCCCTCTTCCGACTCCAAGCGCGACCTGTGCCCGACGTTTGAGTGTTCCAACTGCCTCATCCAAGCCGGCTTCCACGGTGACTGATTTGCCGCTGAGCAGTCCAACTTCCACTGCAATCGACATGAGAAGAGGGTATCTCCAGCTCTGACCCGTCCGGTGCCTAATCAAGACATGCTGCACTACTTAAACCCCGAAGCCCCATAACACACAAACACAGGTCGGAGGCTCGGCACTGACAAAATCCCGCGGAAACTGCCGATGATGACACAGCTAGGATAGCTCTAAAGTTGCGTTATAGGGTGCGCCTTTTGGGAAGGTGTCGGTTCCAAGAATTTGCGAGGCTACAAAAAACCCTTTCCATAACTGCTGCCACGGGACTCGAGCGACTCTTCCGGCAGCAGCTCCTCTTCAAAGGCCTTCTGGGAGAGATGGAAAGCCAACATAGGGGGCTTGATCATTGGAAGAGTTGTTGTTAGGCCATAAGGGTTCCATCAGAGAGCTTATGACTTGAGGAGGGTGGTTTTATCAGGGTTGAGTAGAGGTGTACAATGAGACTAGGGTTTGGGGGTGTACTTTATCACATTCCAATGAGGGAACAGCATGGCTGAGTATTCAGGCTTCTATAGTCGGTCTTACATCTGAAATCCTCTATGGAACCGCACGGAAACCGCACAGGAAAGCCGGGCACACGGGGTTAGGGTGTTGGGTTTATGGTTCCGAATTCACCGTTTAGCTGGCATTTCCACCAGAAACCTGTGTACACACCGGTTAGAACCCCACCTTAGTTGTGCATAGTTGTGCACTGCCTCGCCTCTTCTGCCGGGGCATCTTCCATGGGCGCTTCTTCCTCTTCCTCCTCCATCTCCTGGTAAGTTTCCAGCTTACTGTATCAGGGTTTCGGGGTTTAGGGGTTAGGGGTTTAGGGTTTAGGGGTTTAGGGGTTCAGGGTTTAGGGGTTTACTGCTCGAACTTCTCGCGGCTTGCATTGTGGATCCTCTGCGGTTTGGAGGGCCTGGGATTCTGGGCTGACGTGAAGAACACCGGTTTGGTTTTTATTAATCAAGGCTTGTACAGATACGAGTTCACCCTACCGGCTTGGACCTGACATCCAAAATTGCTTCGGACCAGATCACGCTCCTGCTCCCCCTCGCTGGTGTTCAGGCTCCAAGCCGAACCGCACGCCCATGAGCCAAACGCAGCTGAGGGTGCGGATCAGGTGTTGCCAAGACCACCAAATACCGCCAAGAGTCCGTCAGAGAGCAATTCTTCAACAAGGGTTACAAGTTTCGAGAGGTGCCCGGCAACTGCTTCGCAAAGGCATGTCGTGATCTCTGAACTTGGAAAGCCCATGCCACGCACAGACACAGCGCCTGCCTCCAGAATGATGAAAGGATTACCTCGGCCCAGCGGAGCATGCAACTTGGTGCCTCCAGTGTGATCCTGAAATTTCTGATACGTACCGCACAACAGACGAGCAACCCCGATACTCGATACCTTCATTCTGCCCACTCCAAAAACAGAGGCTCGAGGCTCTTTCAGCTTGTAAGCTGTGAAGACACGTCATGAGAAGGTGCCATTGTGGGGTTTAGGGGGTTTTAAGCTCTATCGAGGCTGTGTTGAACATGTTTTGCCCAGAGAAAGGGCCATCTTGCCAGTACATGCAGTAAAGGGGGTTCATCCCGAACACCCAAAGTCTCGGGCCACTTGCGCTGCGGCTCAGCAGAAAAGCCACCGGTTCAGGGTTTAGGGTTTCGGGTTTTTTCTTTAACTATGTTGACGGCCCTTTCTCCTGAACGCGCCAGCCCTATTCGGGCTTTGGGTTTAGGGTTTAGGGTTTAGCGAAGCACCAAACTTAAACCCAAGGCCCTGAAAGCCAGCGCGAAGCACACTGCAGTCGAGGCCACCATATTCGTCCACTGCCAGCTGTCCTACTGGTGCCGCCATGGCACAGGGACCTGGGCATTGCATCGCGTTCTGTTTTGAGGGTCTGCGACTTTGATTATTTTTTTGTGAAACAACAGTTGCTGACTGAAGTTGTCTTAGCCCTCGTGTCCGCCTGCGAGACAGAAGCCTGTCTCCTTTTGAGCTTTGCTTCAAGGCCTCCAGCTTTGGGATACATTTCTTGGAGATTTAGCTGCTGCCGTGATTCTGCGAATCAAGACATGTGGTAGAGTGGCTGCTCTTGTAGTTGTCCCCAACGCGCTGATCTGTCTCCAGAAAGCGACGATCCTGAAATCACAAACTTGGCAGAAAGGGGGACATGCGAACTTAGTTAAAGCCTCATCACCCGGACCCTCATTCCCCAGAACCCTCGAACCCTAAACCCCAAATCCAACTGCCCTAAACCCTAAATCCCCCCGTGCTTGCCCACAAAGCTTTGAGCTTCGGACCGAGCGAGGGTTGTCTGGCCCAGAGGTCCCCGAAACAAAACACTTGGGCCAACAGCAGATCAGAAGAGTTTTTGGGGGCTTCAAGGGTTTCGGGGTTTAGGGTTTAGGGTTTAGGGTTTAGGGTTTAGGGGTTTAGGGTTTAGGGTTTAGGGGTTTAGGGTTAACATAATCATAATAAGCAATAAGCAAACCCCACAATAGTGTTGAGGGCTTAAGCGTTTTAAAGCTTAAGGACGTATGCGCAAGCGCTTTAACTCGCCTATTTTAAGGCTGAAGGACTTCAGACTTTGGGGCTTCCAGAGGGAGACTGCATCCCTGTACCTGCTACCGACTTAGAAGTTGCTGGGTCTTCAGATACGCAGCTTCTCGATTTCCAAGCGCCCACACTCGCCACCTCATAGACTTCGCCACTTCAAAGCTTACCCTTGCTGTGAGCAACCGCAGGTTGGGGAACTAGGAAGCTGAGGAACTGGGAGAGCTTGAGAGGCTGATTTTCCTTGTCTGCACCCAGCTCGGTTAAAGCGTCAGAGAAGGTGGAGACAACGGCTCAGCTGAAGAGCTCAAAGCAAGGACTTCTGCATTCCAACGGTGCACCATACGATACCTGCGCGCCTGCACGTGCCCCACCACTGAAAGGACGTGTGCTTCTTCTGAAAGACCAACCCTTAAACTGCACCAACAGTCCCCAGCCCCAGATTGACATTGATTACTGATCTCAGGAGCTTCGACAATCTCAGCCAGCGTCTCGTAAACCCTGCACCGCACTTCCCCTGTACGATGCTCCGGGCCCTGTGCCCACCTTTGGGGCGACTTGGGGTCTGCGTCAAAAAATAAGACGAGGTCTCCCATGCGAATAAAAATTTACCTTAAGGGATCCTTCGGCAAACCCCAAGAGCAACCCAAGTCCCCGAGAGTTTCCTGTGGGCATCCTTCCAGCACTTCGCGGGTGCTTTTCGGGATTCGGGGGTACCTTTCGGGTAGCTTCGGAGCTCAGTAACCAGGGTTCCTGTAAGGGTCCCTTGAAAGGGATCTATAAGGGTTCCTGAAAGGGATCTATAGGGTTTAGGGTCTACTTAAAGGATCATGGGCACAGGAACGCTCAGGTTGGCCCCTGTGAAAAAAATTCACACGGAAAAGCGGGGCGAAGAGGGCCACGCTCTCTAAGCCTGAGAGCCTAAACCCAACAATCCAACCTACGCCAACTTTCAAAATCCTGAAGGAAGCTAAGAGTCCGGAAATGATACAGATTCGGTTGAGACTGCTGCGCTCAAAACAAAACAAGGGCCAAGAGCTTCCGCTTCTTTGGGGATCCTCTGAGGATTTCCGCCCGGACCTATGGTACCACCTATGCCTCCGAATCCCAAGCCCGCTCAAACAAAGTTTACTCCGAACCCAAAGACTCCTCCGAATCCCTACAGTCGCGGCCCCCAACAGCCCCTGCTCTTCCTGAAACCGGGTCGGGTCACAGCGCACTGCAAGAGAGAGGGGCCGATTTACCACCAGAAACACCCCACACACTCCCACAAAAAAGGATCATGTTGGGCTCAACTATTTAGCATCGGGTTTCGGGGTATACCATAGCTTACTATAGTGACTGATTGGTAACTATCAAGGACAGTTCATTAGGCTTCTATATTCCGGTCGTGACCTTCCCCTAACACAGGCCCGGAGGGTTGAGGCGTGTTATGCGCATTGAGCCTTCAGGTGATCTCTCTTTGAGGGCCCCTCGCACCCAGCAGCAGCACCAAGCACCGCTGTCAACTGCAGACCCGAATTGTGAGGCGCGCTGCCTCTTGCGTCGAAACCCGAGCTCTGCAGGAAACGAGTGAACCTCTCGGAAACGACAACCCCTCCTCAACACTGAAAGCAGCGGAGCCTGGAGAGTTCTCAACCAGCTCATTGATCCACACCCCACACGTCCGGTCTGGAGACGCGTTTGCAGGTGATGCCGCAGGGGCACTCGTGGCCCCACTCCTCCGAACATCAGGGGATTGGGGGTCTCCAGAAGTGTACAGTAGAAGTCGGCTTCAGGCTTGCATTGCCATGAGCCTTCGCCTCTTCTTCAGGCTTTAACGACTCACGTCGGAATAGTGCTTGTGTTGCGGAGTCTATAGCGGGAAGCCTTCTGCTTCTTCAGGCAAGGGGACGCGGGAACTTCTCCATATCTCTCCCTCTTTCTCCCTTCTCTCTCGCTCCCGCCACCTCTCTCCTCTGTATTACTTTCGTGGGGGCAGCATACAGCCTTAAAGGATCATGGGACTTAGGGAGGATGTAAGGACTTTGATTAGGGGTTATAAGTAGTTGTAAGTAGAACTGCCTTTTTACAGCCGTAGTTACTGAGTCTCATGATCCTTTAAACCCTCAACTCCCCCGTAAAGAACTCTTCAAGAAACCCTTTAATTTAAGGAACCATAGAAAGAGCCCTTTAAGGAGCCATTAAGGGGCCCAAGGATTCCACCAAAGCAGAGTGCGCCTGCCGCTTGCAGCTGCAGAGTCGGGGTGGAGGCCGGCTCGTCTGGATCCAGTCCCGCTTGATCTGGCGACTACCCGCTGAGCTGAGAAAGAGATGCTAAGATAATACGAATAATACGAATAGTTCATACTAATAATAAATAATATATGTAAAAACAATTGTATTGTCAGATAGTATGAAGGATAATGACAACAGTAATAACAGTAGTACGAGAACAATGGGTATTTATTCACAAGCCTCCTGTTGCAAGACGCCTGGCCCCTCAACGTCGCACTCTCCAGACGGCCACGCCTTCTGCGTTTTCCCCTCGAAGAACCGCGGATACCTGCCCGGGACAGGCTACTCGATAATTTGGGGACATCGGCTGCCCCACGGGGTTGAGGGAGTCGAGAGCCCCCGCCTCAGCCACGGCCGGATGCGGCGATACCTGCGCTCGTAAAACCACCGAGACCTGAACACCAAATGCTCAAACCCTATACTTCTTAGGGTTAAGAGAACCCCTCAACCCTAAACCCCAAATCCTGAAGACCAAGCAGCCCTACACCGTAAGTTGAAGATAAAGCCAAAGGCACCATCTACACGAGAATTACAATTATTGCTACTGCTATTGTTATGCTTATGAGTGGTTTGCTATTCTTGCTACTATTATTGTTGCTATACTTCAAACGATTTTCTGCGATGATCCATCGCATGGACGAAGGCCCGCTGGCTCGAAATCGAAGGAAGACGTCGGCCCGGAACACCCCTACTTGGAGGGTCGGGGGACTTAGTAAGTAGGTAGTAAGTAAACTTATAAGTACCCTAAAAGGGACCCTAGTTGGGGTTATGGTACTTATAAGTCCCTAAAATAACCAGTTACTAAGCCCCCCGACCCTCCAAGAACGATTGCTTGCTTGGCAGACTGCATCATAATCGCCTTAAGTAGGGCAAACGGCATTACAGTGTTGCAAGGTGTTGAACCCTAGTTACTATAAGTCCCATGATCGTCCGAGTACCTACAGGATCAGGGGACTTGGCAAGCAAGGTAGTCAATGGGCTTGTGTGTGCCCTAGCTGGGGTGATCCTACTTCTTGCTCTACTTCTGACCTACACCTGATCCTGTAAAAATGTCCGAGCGACAGCTGGCAGCTCCAGAGTTGTCATGTGTACTCCCCTGTATCGGTCTAAGCCTTAAGAGGTGACTAGAGCAAAGCCTGTTGATTTCTGGTTCTCTCACCCCATCATCAATGCCAAATCCGGCCGCAAAACAATGCCGCGGTCCTCTTCTTCTCGAGCATCGCGAGCCGCTCAAGCTCGTGCTGCGGCGAAGCAAGGGGATGTTTCGGGTCGCTGGGTGTCTGGTTTAGGGCTCCCGAGAGAAGCATATCTTTCATATCTTTGCTTCCGGCGGTAGGACGGATTCGAGAGTATAAGTCCACAGCTTTGGGAGCAGCGACTCAAGTGGAAGTTGTCGGAGTTGCCATTCTTGACCCGGGGCCATCCGGCCTGAACCCAAAGCCCGAACCCGCAAACTTCAGCCGTGTGCGGAGGAATGTGAAAGTAGAGCCAGCACCAGCCGTGTACGGTTTAGGGTTTAGGGTACGGCTGCGTGCTTGATACCGTCGGCATCGGCATGCACACGTAGCTACGCTCGTCGACTTACACACTTCTCTTTGGCATTTAGTACGCATTATTGCTGCTAGCATGGCTATTAGTTTTACTACCATTATCAGCAATGTTACTATTGCTATTAGTATCATGATTATTATTACAATATTGCTATCATGATTATTGTTAGTAGTAGGATTATCATCTCAACTCTCATGTCCTGTTCGCAGCGTGGCCTCCTTGCTCTCAAACTGGATGACGAAGAAGTTGCCGTCTTCAGACTGCCAGGGCTCAAGAAATCCGCTGAGTGCCGAGGCTTAAAAGCTGAGGTGCTCAACCCAAAAAGTCGCAACGGCTGCATTGAGTGTTGAGTTAAGGAGCCTGCATATAGAGTATGGTTTATATTACCAGTATCCCCATAATAAAACCCAATACCAAAATGGTAATATAAGCCCTACTTCATATAGAATGGGGAAGTGTGGTCAGTTTGTTGTCACTGCTCTGCAGCATCCCGGGCTCGGATCGAACAGAACAGCTGCCACAAGCACCCCAGAGACTCCAATATCCCTAATTAAGGAATATACCTTAAATCATATAAGGGATCCTACCATTATTTAAGGAATATTCCTTAATTAAGGGATATTGGAGTCTCTGGGACCCCAGTGTCGCGAAGGGAAGACGCCGACTGCCCAACCAACACCTACTTCGAGGATCAAGGGACTCTGCTTTTACCCTAAAACCTAAACCCCAAACCCTAAACCCAAAACCATTTAGGGTTAGAAGTTACAAGAAAGGAAACTACAGCGATATCCACGTAAATCGGTCGGCTTGGAGCACTGAAGCGGATACACGCCAATCATCCGATTATAGTCCCTACATATCCTGTGTCCCTGCGTATATACTTGTCTCATTTATGTATTTATGTATTGCTTTTTTGCTTGTCTTCTTGTAGTGGTTTATACACCACTGTACACCCCCAGACCCTCAGATTATGGAGGCCCCCGTGTTATGAAGAGGTCACTCCAGAAAGCTTTCAGGCAGAAAGCCTTGACTCTGGGATCCTTCAAGGGCTCCAAGAAAGATTTCCGAGGGTTTGGACTTTAGGGTTTAGGTTTATAGCATGAGCTGCCACAAGGGATAAGACATGACCCAGAGGGCTTTTATGCACCGCGAACTCGGACTCCTGCGCTGTGAAGACACCTTAAACTCACGAAGCTCCCGCGACCGCCTCCTCGGCGATCATGCCGAGCTCAGGCTTCTTGCTTTTCTGCGGCATATCCATGCCTCCTTCCGGCCTCGAGCGCACTTATCGGAAGACTCTTCGTGCATGGATTTGCTTTGTCATTCGTGGTCTGTCACGAAACATCAACACGTCTGACACGCGACTGCTTCTGCTTGGGCACGAGCAGGCAAAGCTGAAATTGACAGATTCTGTGACTGTCTTGGATCCCACAAATTTAACAAGAAAACGCCTCCGGAAAATAGCTGGGAAGTCCCGGCCCTGGCTGCGCTACCCGGACCCAGCACCTCGTCCACACTCGATCTCCCTGGCGTCCGTCAGCGGGAAACCGGGGAGTTGGGTCGAATAGCGTGAGGAACGCGAAGTTGGCCCTGAATTTATCCGGAGTATCAAACGCCAAGCTCGGACCCCGACTCGCTGCCCTTGGAATCCTCTGCTGCGGGCCTTGTGAAGGTTCACGGAGGCTGCTTTCTCCTCCAGCTCTTTCCGCCTGCGGCGCGCAAATTTGATGATCTCAATGCAATCAAAACAACAAGGCAGCTCCGTGTGTTTGGTCATCTTGTCATGTTATGCAAGTTCACGTGCACTACTTGTGGCCGCAACGTGGAAGATCCCATGTCCAGATCTTTCAATGCTGCTCGGCACTAACATCCTCAACATACTTTACGGAACATTTCTAAAACTGTTGTGAAACCCTTATAGAGTGACGTCCTCCAGATGTCGGGGCCAAAATTCATGTGTCGGAATTGCGCACATGAAGAAATTCAGCCGTTGTGTTAATTGAATGCTGAGCGTGGAAGTTTACCGTGGCGTTATGCTGACATTTGAAGACTCGAAATTGTCAAAGGTTTGGAAACAAAACCGCGACTCGCCGTGAATGTGACAAGCTCCGCATGACCCAATGCCGCGCACCCAAGCAAGTTACGGCCGGAAAAATGCTCCAGGACCATAGTCGTGGGTAAGACTCTGTAAGCCATGCCCCTCTCACAGAGGCGCTTCCCCATCTCAGCCGATCTTACACATGATATACAACCCGTGTTGTGGACCAAGATGTGTATAGTATGTACTGTTATGGTATGTACTGTTTGTTAACTTATTTCAGTATATGTTTTGAACTGTACATGCATACATATATATATATATACATACATACACATCTATATAGATAGAGGGTTCTTCGCCGCAGGTTGACCCCTTCATTTTAAGGTTTTTCTGCCTTGCAATCCCTGACATGGTTCTTGTGCATCAGCCCTTATGGCGAAATGCACCCCAAATCCAGATTTGGTCCTTCTGCGGACGACCGTATTTGGAGAGCTTCCCTGTTTTCTTTTTGTTGAGGAAAGATTCTTCTGCTATGAAGATCTGCTTCTGGTTCTTCTTCAAGGTGCGCTTTTGAGTAACTGTGGAAGCGTTTCAGGACGACGGTGGCTGGCCACTTCTGGATGGCTGGGCGCTTCTGGGTCGCGTGGCTCGCTGGTTTCTTGTAGGAAACGCGACGTCGCATATGAGGCTGCATTTCCGTGTCCTTGAAGACGATGTTGTTAAAGCCATTGTCAAGTTGCAGCATGGCCCAGTTGCTCACGACCTGCTGGAAGGAGGCCATCCATGGATCTTTGGTTTCATGATGGCGGTGGTGAAAAGGAAAAAGGACTATGCCCCTCGACGAAGAGCAGCAGGCGTACCTGAGCAGGGCAGAATCAAAAAGCAAAACAACCAAAAACAAATCTGGCATCCTAGGTTTTCTAATTTTGTGCTTGGTGTTGCTGGTTGCTCGTTGCTTTGTCTGTGTTTTTTTTGGTTTGTTTGGTCGTTTTGGTCTTCTGGTGGGTTGAATGCCTACGTGCTTAGACTGCCGTCTTGACGCTCTTGACTCAGAGAATGCTGAGACAGTCAAGACAGAACCAAGCAAAAGTACTCAAAACACAGGGGTCGAGGTATAGCGCTAAATCAGATAGATATACATATATAGCTGTATGTATGGCTGCATGTATGTCTGTATGTCTGTATGTCTGTATGTCTGTATGTCTGTATGTCTGTATGTCTGTATGTCTGTATGTCTGTATGTCTGTATGTCTGTCTGTATGTATGTATGTACAAATGTATGCGTATACATATGTGTATATATACAAAATATATACATGTGCGTATGTGTATATGTGTGTATACATATATATATATATATATATATATGCGAGTATATACATCCGTGGCCTTTTGCCAGCAGGGCCGTCGCTTTCACCAAGGCCTTCAAGTCGGGATTCAAGGGTTTGAAGGGTTCTGGTTTAGGGGTTTAGGGGTTAAGGGGCTTAGGGGGTTAGGGTTTAGGGGTTTAGGGGTTTAGGGGTTTAGAATGTAGGGGTTTAGGGGTTTAGGGGTTCAGGAGTGTAGGGGTTTCGGGTCTGCAAGGGCTCCATGGAGTCTCGAAGTACAAGCTTTCTATTATCTAAAGGATCTGTAACGGCAGTTAGACCAAGGGAATCTCAAATCTGACAAGTTTACCAGGCTCATGGTCAAAAAATATACAAGGACCCACCGAAACTCGAGCCCCAGAATCGTGAACCTCAGTTCCTGGACTTTGACATGCTGGCATGCACCTGCTGGCAAGGCGTAACACATGATGACTCTTGTATGGTTCACTTCGAGCTGATAGTTCTGAGAAGTGGAGGGGATGCTGTCATGTGTCTCTGGCAGAGGCTTGGCTGTCTGCGGATGAGAGATCACCCTGCAAGTGCCAAAACCTGCACAAATACGAGAGGAATGTTGAGAATGCTGAGTAACACAAGACATCTCCACCCAGGCTGCAGAAAGCAACCTTGCCCACAACTCCAGAACGGACTGGAGCCGAAGAGACCCGAGCTTCAACCCTCCGGCGACTGCTGTGCCTCGCTTGCCTGTGAGGTTCGGCCCGGCGGGGAGGAAGCGAGCCCCGCGGAGGTCCTGGCTTCCAAGAGGGAAGCGGCCTAGATTCGCAAAGGCCTCATCCCTGCTCTGCTTCAGGCTGGGGATCGTCAAGCATTGAAACTTCGAGTCTTCGACTTCAACTCAACCGCTCTTCCATGCGAACATGCCTTGTTTTTGCCACCACCAAGGCTCCTAAACTCCACAGACTTAAGATGCAGCCGAAACCGAAGACCCCACACACAGAATTCATCAGAATTCCATGGCTCAAGAGAACCCAAGTTGCCCCCTTAAGGCGACCCTCTAAAAGGACCATGGTACCCTCTAAAGGGAGCCCTAGTACGGGCTCATTTTGCAGAGAAGAAGTTACCGGACATCCCAGAATCATCCCGTTTGAGAGTTTCCGAAATTGGCGACCCTAATATAGTTCCCTTTATAGTAGGATCCTTATTATAAGGATCCCAACATAAAGTACCCCGAATTTTCGGAATCTCCTTAAACCCTGAACCCTTTATAATAGAACCCTTATAGATCCCTGAAAAGGAACCCGCAAAGGTACCCCTAATTTTCGGAATCATCCCATTTCCCGGCCAGGCAGCCTCCGAGCCAGAGATGATTCCACGGAGGAGCTCTTGGTCCTGCCAGGTGGTGGGGTTTAGGGTTTAGGAGGTTTAGGGATTAGGATTTTAGGGTTTAGGGCTTAGGAGGTTTAGGGATTAGGATTGAGGGGTTTAGGGTTTAGGGGTTTAGGGTTTCGGGTAGAGGGTTTAGGGGTCTCCCCATCTTGCTTTTCCCAAAGTTCAAATCGGAGTTGGGGTTCGGAAGTTGAGGTTGCCCCAAGGGTGAAGGAGGCGAGCTCGTATAGTCTTGGGGCTTAGGGTTCCGGGTTTTAGGGGCTTAGGGATCTCGGGAGCGGAATGCTCGACTGTAAGCAACTTCAGGCAAAAGAAGCCTAAAGGTCCTCGGTGCACAGGCTCCAAGCTAACACCGCCTGCACTGCAAGCCGACGTGCTGGGCATGTCCTGTCCTCCGGCCGCAAAAGCTCGAAGCCCTCCAAGTCTTCGGTGGACTCAATGATTCGAGTATTCTGCGCAGCTTTCTTGCATGAAGTGGCAGCATGCACGTGCTTTCATGCAACGGACAAGCCGCGTTTTGATGTTGATCACCTCATGCTTCTTGGATGTCGGATTTCGGCCTTGGGTGGGCGGGGGTTCTGACCACAGGAAAACACCGAACGGATCACCTCGACTTGGTGAGCTCCCCTCCAAATCTTAACCGCAAAAATCTATCCAAATTTGACGGAACCTCTTGCAGAACGCCCGCCCCGAGCCTTTCTCGACCGAGTGAAGACGTTGAACATGCATCGCGCGTGATGCCTCGGGCTAAGTTTGCGGACAAAGGCATACATGCCAAGAATGGCTGAGAAGAGAATCCCAGGTGTACCCCATCTCAAACCGGCATCATGGTGAGGTGGACTTGCAGTCTTGAACGAATACCGTGAAGACAACATGTCGGATTTGCGGCGCTTTTGGACAGCAGGCGCTGCCCTGCCAACACTTCTGCCGGCAGCGGGATGCACTGGCGACTTTGCACCAAATCACGCGGAGCGCACACCCCCGTCCAGGAGGAAGCTGTTCCAAAAGAGTGTCTCACAAAGATGGGGCTCAAGGCTTACAAGTGGAGATGCTCCTTTGTGTTGTGTCGCACTCGCACTGTCGACGACACCCTATATTAGGGCACTGTATTAGGGTACTGTATTAGGATCCTACTATATTAGGGTACTATATTGGGGTACCATGACACCCTTCTTGGAATAGCCGCTCTGGCAAGGAGTGACCGGGTTAGCACAGCAGGTCGGAAGTCGGAAGCCTCTGCATCCGAAACTGCACCTGGGGACATTATCAACAGACTATGTGCAGTGGGCCACAGGATGTTTCGAACATCCGAAGCCGCAGGAATCTTCCTCCCCTAGCCCATACCATATCCACCCAATCCTTAACTGCAAAACACCAGCATACACGCAACATTTTGGCATGGCCTGGGATTTCGGGTTCGCCCCCTCGCAGGGGCTCAGTCAGCCGGAGGCACAGACTTGAGGATGCTAGCTAACTCCATGGACTTCCACTTCATCAGCACAGGTCCTGCTCCAGGTAACCAGGTAGACTCGGGGACGTCGTTTCGGCTTCAGGGCCGTTGTCTGATTCTGGTTCAGCCTTCGAAAGTCCCGCAGGTTTTTGGAATTAGGTTTTTTTTAAGGGCCATTTTTCAGTCTGCACAACGCATCTTGGAATTAGGGTTTAGGGTTTAGGGGAACTACTGAAGCTCAGGAGAAGAGCAGCCAAACCTCCCCCCGTGCTCCCACACACCACACCCGGAAACCTGAACCCCAAACCCCACTCCCTAGACCTTCATCATTAGAACAGATTCTTGATGTATTTTATACTATGATTATAAGGAACCCCCAGAATAGTATTGGTAGTTATTGAGGCCCCTATATTGAGCTCAATCCTTTCTTTCAGCTCTCAAGGCCTTCCGGCGGCAGTCCGATGGTTGCGTTGCGATCCGCGAGGGCGACCTGCCTCTGGCGTTTATTTGGTGCTTTGGTTTTTTTTTTGAAGTGCAGTTGCCCTTTCCCGCAGAGTTCGAGCTTGCTTTGGGGTTTAGGGCTTAGGGTTGGGCTTAGGGTGTAAAGTTTAGGGTTCAGGGCTTTGGTTCCGGGCTTAGGGTTTAGAGCTCTTTTCAAAATACCAAGTTTGGTGGAGCCATGGCTTCTTCGTGCTAGGCTGCGGTGCTTCGTGCTGAGCTGTAGGGCCTAAGGCTTGCGAGTTTAGGTTGTGAGTTTGCGTCTTAGGGGTGATGAGTTTCGGTTTGTTTCGGTTTTAGCATTGACAGCTTGGGGTTTAGGGATGTAGGCGTTTCGGGTTAAGCGCTTAGGGTGCAGAGTTGAGGTTTTAGGCCTGCGTCCTTGTTATCTGCTACTTTCCATCGGCCCAGTTAGTGTTCCTAGTTCCGTAGGCTTTGGGGTGATTCGAGACGAGGAGCTTGACCATCGACTCAAGGATCGGGAACTCCTTCAGGAACTCCAGGAGGAAGCCATCATCATCCAAGAGGCCCACCTGAGCTGAGGTGCGCATACGATTAACAGCACTATATTCGTCTTGAAGCCGCTGACAGACATGGGGGCATGGAGGGAAAGCGTTTGCTCCATTGCTCGCCTGCTTAAACCGAGTGGGATGCTTCTTGGAGTCTTTGAACGCACCTTGCACCTTGCGACTCCCTTACACGAGAGACCAAGTCTCGACCCTGACACTGCTTCGGAATGCAGGCCATGTGCCTCGATAGTTACCGAGGAGAAGCAGTTCTCAACGCCGGTAACATGAAAAATACGCTTGATGTGCATGTTGCTTCGATGGTTGCCGGCTTTTCCGTGCTGCATGAAATCGGAAGGTCGCACTGGCCGTGCCCTAGTGGGTCCTGCGGTTACGTACCCTGGCACGACAACTTCTAGGATTGTGGGTGGCAACAGGGACTGCAATCGCAAGTGAAACTGCTGCAACAGCCACACTTGCATGGTCTTCTCTGCAATCCGGGTGGCGTGGACGATGACATCCGAGTCTGAAGACCAGAGGGTGAGGTACACGTGTTCTGCACAGCTGACACGGACAAGGTCTTTGCCCGTTCTGGAAGGATCCGAAGAAACAAAGCTAATACTGCAAGAGACTTCTGAGCAAAAAGGCGCATCCCATGGGGCCATCTCTCCTAATTTATCTCGGTAGTTGTCAAAATTAAGGTCCCCTTTTGGGTACCCTAAATAATAGGTGCCGTATTTTAATAGGGACCCAAAAAGGGACCATAATTTGACAACCACACATCTGGTAACATGTCCAATACAATCTCTCCAGGAGCTGATGGCGGGGGCCTTGCACTGTGTCCAGCTCGCTGTAACAGGCCAAGACCTGCGCTCTCCGAAGCTCCAAGAGCCCAATTTCCGAACCCCAGAGCAGCACAAGCTAAGTCGTTCATACCGAGGTCTCCTAGGTTGATTGAAAGGGGTCTAGCAGAGCATGGCCATCGGACTTCTGGTGACTGGTGCCTGCAATGGTGGCAGGGCTTTGGCCCACTAGCCCATTCGTTCCTGTTCCGGTGCGCCTGGCCCTTCTCCACCAAGTCTGCAAGACGAAGTCGAAGTACCTGAGACGGTCCCGGCGTTGGCTAGCCGCGAGCCTTCCATCAGACGAAGCGGCCTTGTTGCCCGTCTTGGTCCTCACCCTGGCGTCCTCAGCCGGTGGGGACTAGGAACTTTCGCAACTTCCGCGAAAGCTGGGCAGCTGATTTTCGGAGTTTGGCTTTGCTATGTTGGGCCAACAGACTCGTGACGAGGCCGCTTGGCTATCCTGACTGCCTCTTGGGCAAGAGCAGGTCTTGACGACGCCCTTACGTCCGAAAGCTGGCCTACGCTCCGCATGTAAGAAGGAGCTAATGTAGTGGCCTTAATAATGAGAACAGGGTTTCGGGCCCATGAAAAAAGTAGTAGATCTATAACAAGGAACCCCCCAGAATAACATTGGCAATTATGTTGGCCCCTATACTACAAGCAGAATACGCCGGAGTCCTGCTTTCGAATCAGGAAGTTGATCTCACTGCCGCGAAGGATGGTCGACTCTGCCTTCGGACTTCATGTCACATTATGTGGTGGGAGGCCGAAAGGGGGGTTTAAGATTCTTGGGGTAGGGATTCCTTGATATGAACCCGATTATGGGAACCCTAATCCCCGCTAAACCCCCATAGGCTAGAACCCCTTTTGGCCTCCTATGATGAGCCGAAGAGTTCAAGACCAGACTTCCCCATTTCTGCCTTGGCAGCCTCCAGTATCCGTGTCGGCCTCGGGGATGAGATGGCGCGGGGGAGAAATCTGCTAAGGAAGCCATGCTCTGATATATGCTCTGACCAAACTTCCACCCCTTCAGCTTCACCTCTTCCAGCGGGTGCGATGCTGCCGAGTCATGGCAATTGCTGTGGCGGTGGTGGCGGTGGCGGTGGCGGTGGCGGTGGCGGTGGCGGCGGCGGCGGCGGTGGCGGCGGTGGCGGCGGTGGCGGTGGCGGCGGTGGCGGCGGTGGCGGCGGTGGCGGCGGTGGCGGCGGTGGCGGCGGTGGCGGTGGTGGCGGTGGTGGCGGTGGTGGCGGTGGTGGCGGCGGTGGCGGCGGTGGTGGTGGTGGGCGGCAGCGGCGATGATGGTAGTGATGATGATGTTGTTGTTGATGCTGAAGCTGATATTGCTGTTGAGGAGGAGACGACTACGATAAATACCAAAGCCACAATAGAAAGAGAGGCAAGGAAGAATGTAGCAAAGACGGCGACGACGATAAGGATGTGTGGCAGATTCCCTCGCAAACACATGGCATGGTCTAGAATTCACGTCCAAGGCGCAAGTGCATGGTCTTTGAGTGCTGGATCAACGCCTTCAGCTCCATCTCAGTCCTTTCCCATTCCGTGGCAGTCGAGTTGGGTACAGGGAAGCTCTTCAGAGTCCTAACCGTGTTGATGCCATGGATAACGCCATAGCAGGAGAACGACTGAAGTCTCGATCGAAGCATGAGTTTGCAAAGAGCTCCTATCAAGGCTGATGCCTCTGCGTGCGCCTGCGTGTTTCGCAGAGGAAACTTGCATTGCAAACATGGCTCCCTGAAACGACCTGGGCGGAATCAACGCTCCAGCCATGCAAGGCAAAGAACCCACAGGGTAGGGGCCTTTATAATTGGAATAGGGTTTTGAGGGCACCTTATACTGGTCTAATATACCCCCAAACCCTATTCTGATTCTTAAGGCCCCCTGCCAGGCCCAGGCCCGTCCTGCGGATCTCGTCGCCGTGCCGGTCACGGGCCGTCCCGAGCTGCGAGAGGCCGGCGAGCACAGACTGCAGGTATCGGCCTCGCAAGTGCTACGATAACTCCGGAGTGCCCTGGAAAACAAGATGTTGCAATACATGACACGGAGCTGCAGGGATGCCAATGTCTGAACTCCACCGTGCATTTCTGATCACTGAGACGGGAAATCCAAACCGCAAAGGGATACGAGGTGCTGTGGCGGTTCCGCGCCAGGATCACGGAAGCCATCCTGAGAGAAGCAGCTAAGACTTTCGTCGCACGAGTCATTACAGTCTCTCTGAGTGGAGTTCTCTAAGCATGTGATTCAGTGCGTGTATTCTCTGAATTCTCGACAAGAGGGAACACTTGCAGCCTAAAATCTTGATCTTGACTGGCCAAGGCTTCCAAGCCCATGTTATCCCAAAGACGACATGGTTGATGAGAATTGACCATCGCGTACAACAAAGCCCCAACTGTGCTTCTGTTCGTCGTCGTGGTCGTGCTTGCGGTTGTGGCATCGGTGGCTGCGGTGGCGGTGGCAACGGCAGCGCCGGCGGAGGCGGCGGCGGTGGTGGTGTTGACGATTGTGGTGATGGTGACGGGAGGTGATGGCGGCGGCTGCGAAGGTGAGCGGAACTCACCCCAGCAATAGCTCGTTTGAGAAACACTTGAACCAAGTGCGACAACCCCAGCCAAGCCATGTAGCAACCCTCTGCAAATCCCGGCACAAGAGACTGCTTGGACGCGCTCATGTGATTCAGTGGTACTCCACATCTTTCCTCTTCCGCCTTCTTCTTTCCACTTCCGCTTCATCCTACTCCTCTTCATCCCATCCATCCGAATTTGTTCGAAGATCCACGCGACTATGTCTTACCATCCCCAGCAGTCTTGCCTGTTTCAATGCCAGGGTGCGTGTCCAACACCTCCTCGGGACTTGTCTCTGTGTCAATGAGGTCACCGACGGCGGCCAAACCCTGAGAGGGAACGCTGCTTACAACCGCCCAGTCCAACTACCCAGTTCTAGCAATTCGACATCGCAAGAGTGGCATCGGAGAAACCACCACCACCACCACCAACAACAACAACAACAACAACAACAACAACAACAACATCCTCATCATCATCTTCTGCTTATTCTTCTGCACCGTCATCCGGCTCAGCTCTCCGATGCACCTCGCTGAGCTTCTTCTCCCAGAAGTCGTTCTCTGCTGCAGCGAACTGGGCGAGAAGGGCCTGGCAGGGCAGAGCGCTCTCCCCGCTCTTAGGGTTCAGGGTTTGATTCGCGAAAGCATCCTGAAGACTAAGACCTTGCGCCGGAATTAGATGGGAGCTCCGAGAATAGAGGACCCCAATAGAGTACCCTAATATAGTAGGATCCTGATTATAAGGACCCCGAAACAAGGTACCCCTAGTTGTCGGAAACTCCCATCTCACAAAGATGCTTCAGTAGCTTCTCCCCCAAGGCGTCGGCCTCGAACTCACTCTGGAGGTCCTCAGACTCAGACATGGCACGGCGCAACACCAAACATCCAAGAGAGGCTGTTGATTCAAATTAAGAGAAAATTTCCCTTCCAGCCCTTATGCAACCAATGTAACACACCCCAAAGACACTACGTGATGTCCCGAGGCCCACAAACCCGACTGCGAGGTCCTGGAAGTTCGTCGCAGTCAGAGGCGGCAAGTGTCGGAACAGATCCTCCAAAACCTCCCAACATCTCAAGGAACAAGTGAGGGGACGCACTGTTCTAGATTTATCCCCGTTCAGAAAATGTCCTGGCAGATGGGATGCATCAGGAAAAGCGTCTCCGCGAAAAATGGACCGCGGGAGCCCCACACCAACCCCACCCAATCATGACTGCCTCTCGGCACGTCCACCTCATTAGAGGAATTCGGCAAAGGCTTCTGCTCCTTCTCTGCAACATGGCCTTCATGTTTCGGTTCAGACAAGTTGGAGGGTGATTGACAAACGAACCCTACCGGGACACCCGAAGGCTTCTACCGTGTTCGGACTGCCCACCACCAGTCCGGACCCTGAATGACAGACTCGCGGCTTAGAGTCCCAGATTCAAGAATTGGCTGGGACAGGGCGAAAAGTCTTTCCCTGCTGCACCCCAAGATCAGAAGACACCCTAAACCCAAAACCTTAAACACGGAAACCTCTAAGCTTGACTCCTCGACCCTTCTTGTCCCCTTTGCTGCAGAACCCATACAAAGACCCGTAGCGGACCTTGTGCGGGTTATCTTCTTTCAGTGTTCGGATCACCTCAGAGACTGTAAGCAGAAACACGGGGAGGGAGCAGGGCATCGAAGGCGGAAACTCCAGTTCTGAAGAGGCATAGTTCAAAGTCTCCTGACTGTATAGTTGTACTATGATATCCAAAATACATCATTCTACTTGTTAAGACTCGAAACTCAAAATTTGCGATGTCTTCAAAAGGCTCGAGTCCTTTGTTAAGGCACCCGTACTACATGCAAAGACTGCTGGTAAAGACGACCTTGTTCTTGTTGCTAGTGGGGGCACTTTCGGTACGTAGTGCTGATCCTTGAAATCTGGACTCTGTGACAATGACGCCTTTTGAAACACTGAGACAGACCCCCAACATCACAGGCAGGTCATATCGTGCTGCACAATCGGACTTAGTAAGCAGTTTCCCTCGTCATTGAGATTATTCTACTCACAACTCTACGTACCCTGCTTATTGAATCGCGTGATCGTCTAAGTATACAGGAACGAGGTCGTCTTCGGCTTCCCTCTGAAACCAGCTGTGCGACGTCTACGTTCTGCGACACGTCCCCCTGGCAGAAGAGGGAGGCTTCAGGTAAAGGGCTTCAGGCAACGTGCAAGCCAAAGCAAGCGAGCTCACGCCGTCAGGATCGTGCTTAAGATTCCAGGAGCAAGCGAATCAGCTAAACGAGAGCAAATGAAAATCACGTCAAAAGCAGGACATGCTTTACTGCCTGTTGCGTTTGCAGACAGTGTGGCTGTGAGGCCTACAATCTCCAAGCACATGGAAGAAGCCAGCGCAATGCTTGCCATCTGAATCTCCGAAAGGTCAAGGTTTGATGTCAATGCTAGGAACCACAGAAACTGTAAGTACAGAAACGTCAAACAAAGTCTAACGAATTGTAGTGTTATCGTGCGCAGCTGTGGAAAGCTCAGTCAGCTGAGTCAGATGCACGGCAGTGCAAACATAGGGATGCTGGTGCAAATAAAGATGCATGCAATGTACGTATGTACGCCGCACTCAGGATCCAGAAGCTTGGTTATGCTATCGCCTGTTTATCAACTTGACACAGCAGAAGGGACTCCAATCGGATCCACCGAGCAAGACGCTGTGCGAACACACGGCGTGAAATCTGAAGCAGCACCCTCTGTGCAAAGTCCACTCCTCGTCGGCACGATGGCTCTCACTTCCTGCTGCAGAGCTCAGGCGTCGGGGCACCTGCCAAGCAGGTTTGGAGCTTGGGGTTTAGGGTTTATGAACTCTTCAGGCAGCACTTATATACAGGACCAAAGTCGCAGAACAAGCGGATAAAGAAATGCCGGAGCGACAGTGCACTTCGAAGCTGGGCACACCGTCATCGATCGATCCTCCGACGTATTACTCACAAGATGCGAAAAACACCGTCAAGGCTGCGGTACGGGAAGATTCTATGCAAGCAAGGACCCTTGTTTGTAACACGGCCAGGGAGACTTCCCGACCGGTGCAGCTTCCGGATGCCAAAGGGTTTAGGGTGTAGGTTTAGGGTTTAGAGTTCGGGACAGAGCTTAGAAAGCCCGGGATGCCAGCATTGCTGTGCTCTCCAGAGCTTGGGGCTAGTTTCTCAGTCATCGAGTTCCGGGCACGAGGCACGGAGGACGAGAAATTGAGAATACCGCAAAGCCGAATCTTGCACCCTTTACCAGTAATAATGACTGTAACATTAGTCGCAATGTTGATCGATAGTAATAACAATAGCAGCAATAACCATGATTGTAGTAACAGTTGATAAGGCAAAAAAATACTCTTAAAACGAAAAGCGACAACAATAGCAATCTGACGTTTTGGTCGGCACTTCACGTCGGGGACCCAGATTAGGGATTGGGGTTAGGGTTTAAGGAGTAGGGATCAGAGACTACTGTTGAGGGTTTAGCAATTAGGGATTACTGTTTAGGAAACAGGATTTAGGGATTAGGTTTGGGGATCAGCGATTACTGCTAATTTAATTAGGCTTGGAGATTACTGTTCTTTGTAAGACCTTTTTCCGTGGGAGGGCTCCCATGGAGCAGGCTTTTAAACTTTTATGGCGATTACCGTTTAGGCTTTAGGAATCAGGAATTAAGGCTTACTTTTCATAGCCTAAAGAGTAGGGTTAGATCCTGAAGGAATCGCCTTGGAATTTCTCTGAATCCCGAAGTCCGGATCGCCAACTCCAAAAACACCAAAGCCCTGAAGGGGCCAACAATAACAACAACCATAATGCCTGTTTGTACTAATAGCAATAATCATGATAATGAGACTTATCCGAATAGTAGTAATATTCAGCAGCAGGAAGATTAATCATCAGACTAGTAATAGCAAATAGTAATAGCAACAGTGATAGTAATCATCGCAAAGAAGGGTCCGTGAAGAAGAAGCGATGCTGGATCTCGAGGCGGTAGAGAGCCTTGGAATCCGCAAAGCTCTTCGGCGGTCTTGCAGTTCACGGTTTAGGGTTTAGGGTTTAGGGTTTAGGGTTGGTCGGAGGGTAGGGCCGGGAACATCTCTAGATGGTCTTTGTGGAAGTGGGGGCTGGCTTTGTCGGGAGGCTTGCGCAAACATGCATGGCAATTCAGATTCCAAGCCATTGATATCAATCGGCAGTATGCTTAATCTTCAAAGATATGCGAAAGCAGATCCCCAAAAGGAATCCACTCCTGCCTTGTCCTTGGTCATGTTGCAACCCGAGTCTCTAGGCGAGTCTCTGAAGTTTAGATTCCCGGCGCGGGCCGTAGAAACATCTGAGACAAAGCCAGGAGAGCCATGTCTGGGTCTTCTCCGGCTACGCTTCTTCAATCTAGACTCCCTGGTTCTTAGCAGGGAATGGGGGAATGGGTTATGGGGACGATTATTGGGGATTATATAGGGATTACTGTAGGGATCCATTCCTCCATTCCCTACTAAGAACCAGACAGCAGAGCAATCAACCTAAACTTCGGCACAGCAGCTTCAAGGCCTTTGTCTGCCTTTCCCTTCGCCTCCTTTACGAATTCCTGGTCAAGCAACGGATGCTGCTGAGCTGGGTTGTGAACTTGGGATCGTAGAAGCATCGTACTAGTAGGCTCCGTAGACTGCGGCTGCGCGGGATTTTAGGGCCCAGAGTTCATCGGACCTGCATCCAGGCATAGCTTTATCTTTGTACTGAGTGTGACGCATGCTTTCATCCCTCCTCTGGGCATGGCGGCTTCACGACTTGGGAGAGCCAGCCGGCGCGCTGCAGGGATCTAGCTCTTTTTTTGCTGCCTGTGTGTGTCTCTCTCTCTCTCTCTCTCTCCCTCCCTCCCAGATGCACAGCCCACACAGACTCTCGCCTAGACCCAGAACACCCAATCCATGTGCCTCGGACCAGGGGCCAACCTTCTTCGCTGCCTGAGGTGCAACGTGCACCGATGCGAGCGAGCTGCGGGGTTTGCGGGGGTACGGCATTGTTGCAGTTGCGGACGGTTTCAAGGAGGTTGGGCTGTCCGGCGCCTCGTCCAGAGGGTCGCCGGAAGTGAGCCTGACAGCACGAAGGACTCTGCTTCAACATCTGAGATGCCCAAAGAGCCCTGCGAAGTGTGGGGCCGGCGGGCCTGATCTTGTTCACGTTGTTCAAGATCATGTTCTGAAACAGGACGAGCTGGGAGGTGGAGATGTAAATGCCTTCACCAGCTCCAGAGTTCGCTGCAGAACTCGTTTCTAACGAACACGGACATGCGTGTAGCACGGGAAGAAGCCAGGAGAAGGAGAGTGACCGGTGACTCAAGCCGGCTTGGTGAGTTTCCGCAACTACGAGCATCTCCACCAACTCAGCCCAGTCTCTCGTTGGCACGCGATCATAGTGCGACAGGAAGGTCTGCACCTGGGGTTGAGGAGGGCATCCTCATTCTATTTCAAGACCAAGACCCTGCAGAGCGGAACTAGGTCTCAGGAGTCTTTTCAGGAGGTCCTCAACCTGAACCCGCCCGCGAATCCCGAAGCACCGTGACGATAGTGTCGGGCTCATCTCCTCCCGTCATGAGCCGCTCGAGGATGAAGCGCAGGACCTCGGGCCTGACAGGTTCCAGGCAGGAGGTGGGGAAGCGAGTCTCTGCCGCAGCTCCCTGGCTCTGAGTAGGGAATGGGGGAATGTGTTATGGAAACTATTATCGGGGATTCTATAGGGACTATACGGATCCATGCCCCCATACCCTACTAAGAACCAGACAGGCAGGTGCTGCAAGTTTCAACAAAATCAGGCTTGGCTAAATTTGCCGGCATTATAAGGTGCTTTGGGGCGGTCTGCAATCTGCATCCGGAGCTAGCCAGGCGACAGTCTTACCTGCGCTTGCGCCAGCCTGCCTCAGACGAGATCCGATCTTGTTCAGCGCCTTCTTTCCACTGGGGACGAGCAAGACCATGTCCTTCACCCCAACCGTTGCTTGAAATCGAAATCGAAACCCCACTCCAAGTCGCAAGTCTGACACCACTCTAAAGCCCGATGGATCGCTATAGTAGCCCCCATCTAATCCCCAAGAATAGTCCCCAGTATACCCATCCCCCGGACTTCGACTCACTGCAAAGCACGCAGCAAAGAGGCCTGAAATCCTGAAACTCCGCTCCTCAAAGGCCGCCACCACGGCACCTAAAGGACGGCAACATGATCTAAAGCCTCCTTGGGCATGGGCTTCCGCTGACATCTGCAAGAAAGTCCGGAAATCGTCCACTGGAATCTGGAATTTGTATCATTCTTTCTGTTACTACTTTTATCATTACTGCTTCTACTACTATTATTGACTATTATTATCATTAGTATTATCACTATTATTAGTGTTATTGTTGTCATTATTCTTGGTAGTAGTAGTAGTAGTAGTAGTAGTAGTAGTAGTAGTAGTAGTAGTAGTAGTAGTGGTAGTGGTAGTAGTAGTAGTAGTAGTAGTAGTAGTAGTAGCAGTAGTAGTAGTGGTAGTAGTACTAGCAGCAGCAGCAAGCAGCAGGAGTAGTAGTAGTAGTAGTAGTAGTAGTAGTAGTAGTTGTAGTAGTAGTAGTAGTAGTAACAGCAGCAGCAGGAGCAGTAGTAGTAGTAGCAGCACTAGTAGTAGTAGTAGTAGTAGTAGTAGTAGTAGTAGTAGTAGTAGTAGTAGCAGTAGTAGTAGTAGTAGTAGTAGTAGTAGTAGTAGTAGTGATAATACTAGTACCGTTCTCTGCCAAATCCGTAGCTGGAGCCAAGGGGCGGAGGTTGAACAGGACGTCGCCGTCGAAGTTGCCCTTCTCGCAGCGCCATAGGCCCACCTCAGCTTCTCTCAGCCTACTATAGAGGCCTCAAAAGTTAGAATTGGGTTTGGGGGCCAATTATACGATCCAGTATAACAAGGAACCCCCAAAATAGTATTGGCAATCATTAAAGCCCATATATTACGAGTGTCTCCCCTCTCACACAGCTTCCCATTTGGAGGCCGCGGCTTCTTGTTTGTGCTGGATTTCTGTTTCCAAACGGACTTGTGACAGCACGCTGGACCTGGAGGGTTTTAGCACGTGGAGGCGTCGTATGAAAGACAAGCACGGAGGAGGGCAAGTCATGGCCCGAAACCCGAAACCCGGAACACTAAACACGCAGTCTGCACATCCCTCCGTGAGCTCCTGTGTGAAGGAGGAAAGAAACCCTGTGAGCTTCCTTGCCTAACTAATTATCTATCTATCCACCCACCTGCCTGTCTAGCTACCCATCTGCCTATCTAGCTAGATGCCTCTCGATCTATCTATCTGTCTATCTATCTGTGTAAGCCTGTGTATAGAGGGCCTTCGACGGTACGAGGAAGCGCTTCAGACCAGCGCGATTATCGAGTCCAAAGGGTTCAGCAAGCAGAACCCTGGCGATCTAGTCCCCAAGAACTTGCGCCTAGCTTGCATTCGTAAGCTGGGAGATAAAGTTTGATGCCACTACTGTGGTCCACTGAAACGACTGCGGCCTAGCCGCCTCTCGTCCACCATACTTCTTTGGGTGGCTCAGCACCGGCAAGATCTGGCGGAGCATGACAGGCAGACGTGTCGGCACCCTTTGCTTCGCTTAAAGAATGCTCGAAAGCTGAACTCTTAAGCTCAAGGCCCATAGATTCCTGAATCTCATAGTGCGCTAAAGATTCGATGCTCAGTCTTTACATCTCATCCCAGGAAACGTCTTGGAACATCGAGTCTCGGAGAGAACTAGGATGACATGCTGGGTGCCCCGACGATGCCACTGATGAGGAGGCGGAAGAGCGGCTCGCACATCTGCAGCTCCACCTGAGGGGCCCTCTATCACACCCTCGAAGCAAAGAATCCCGGTGTCAGGGAAGCCAGAAATCTCCGCCCACCTCGGTGCCTGCTTCATCTTCCTGGCCGCAAGGATAGGCGGGCCCCTTCATGAAGCTCTTGGAAAGATCTTCGGGGCTATTATTGCCAAAATTAACCATTAGTACTAGTATCACTCTTATTACTGCTAGTACTATTAATACCATCATTACTGCTGTTGCTACTATTACCTTCCTTACTACTATTGCTAGTATTACCTGCATTACTACTATTACTATTATTTCCTCTATTACTACCGACTAAGTCCCTCGAGTTTTGTTTTGTCTTTTGGCTACCGCTGTCGGACTTCGGAGCTCCCCCAGACCCTGCTGGCTGAAGTACACATCTGCTCAAGGAATCTCGGCCTCAACGCTGCGAAGTCTTCATACGAGCATCAATACCTTTTATGCTATACATATGTATAGTATTATGACAAAAAGACGCATGTTGTGCGGTTACATATATATATATATAATATACCATGTACACACCTGTTACCACGGTATAATGCGTATTATGCTTTACCGTAGTACGTGTCAACATACATGTATGTGTACATATCTTTTCGATATACTCGACCTACCAATTCAAAGGGCGCGGCAATCGCTGGCTGATTCCTCTCAAGTCTGCTCGAGCCTGTGACAGCACTTGTTATTGTCATCAACATGAATGGTACTGCTGTAACTATTATGAATTCGGAGCATTAGCTTGAGGTCAGACCTGCCTCAGTGCCAACCAGCTGAAACTCCTGGCATTGGAGTCTTCTCACTGCCGGCACAGATCCACCCACAAGCTAAAAGTCCCACACGCGGCGACCCTAACAAGTCAGAGCAGAGGCGGCTCAACACCTGCCCTTTAGACTGCCCTTTGTCCTTGATGGTCTCGCGGCAGAAGGCAAGGAAGGACCAGAAGCTGGCAGGCAGGTGCAACCGTGAGATGGCAGACACCACCTCGGCAGAGCGGACGCCGAGGATCTCAATGCAGCATTCACAGATGTTTGATTTGTGGAGTTTGCACACCAGAGTCTTACAAAGGTGTCGCCTGCAGGGTTTCAACACAGCAAAGGTTTGCGTTGCGGGTGGTTCTCACAAGATCTTACAACGGCGCAACCTTCTCGCGGCAGAAACTTTAGGCCTAAACTTGAAGTGAGCGCACAGCAGATGCGGCATGGAAGGAGACACAAACTTGAATGCTCGTACAAGCCACATCGACCTTGAAGAAGTCATAGAAGGCTTCGAGCTCCTGCATACAACATCCGAAATTGCGGGCAGTCGAAGAAGCACTGGTTCAAAGGGGGTCGAAGTTAGGAAGCAACCGCTGCAGAAAGCTGATCAAGGCCAAAGGCAAGCTCGGAAATCCGGGGAGCGTCTCACCATCACGAGCTGGAAGAAGTGAAGACTTTGGACCCTGATATAGTACCCTGAAAACTGGGATCCTTATTACAAGGAACCGAAAACTAGGTATCCCTAATTTTCGGAAACTCCCACTTCCCAGATTCTTAAGGCGCCATCCACACAGCTCCTTGGTGAAATCGGCCCTCAGTTCTTGCGCGGCTTGCTCCTTTTGTGGATTTACTGGAGAGATGAGGGGATGAGGGAATTCAAACCCAAGAGACTTCTGAAGTTTATCCGGGCGAGTGGAGCAATGAAAAACTCAGAATCTAGTCAGTCCCATGCGTCTGAGGAAAGTTGGACGTGAACCCTAACCACAGCCTCTAGCCAGCGCTGAGGTCCTACTTGCTCACACGGCACTCAAGCTCTTGGGCTCGGAGCAGAGGGACGCAGAGAGTCTTCGAATTCTGGATCCCAGGCTCAAGATACCAGGAGCCCTAAGCTCTGAGTTGTACTTGGAATCTTCGGAGCACTCTTTCCGCTCCGCCCCGTAGTGCCTTCAACTTGGCAGCGATGCTCGGCGACTTCCTCCAGAACGCATCCGGCATTGAAGCTGTTGGTCTCAAGTTTAGGGTTTAGGGTCAAGGACTTAGGGTTGAGGGTGCAGATCTGCTTCCAGGCTCACAGCGGCAAATGTTGCATCCATGCATCTGATTCTGAACTTTCTCGAACGCTGTCTAATGCTCTCCCTACGGAAACTCGACTAAGCCTTGGGACTTCACAAGGATGATGCTACACTGACAGTCTATGTGCCTGGCCGCTACAGCTCAAAAATCTTGGGCGATAGAGTCAGGTGGCAAGTAGTCATTGAAGTCCAAGGACCACGTCTGGCCGCGCTCCAGCCTACAAAGACGAATGAAACTCCAGTTGTGAATAAATAGTGGAGCAGAAGTTGTGGTCCACGATCAGCCGCCCTGTTCGGGGCTCAAAACTTAGAGGTGCGGCTTCAGGGATTTAGGGATCGTGGGGGTTGGGGTTGAGGGCTTCGGGTTGAGCCGGGACTTCAGATGTGGGGGTGCTTGTGGTTGACCTGAGCAGGTCTAGGTGCGTGCAGTAGCAACGTCGATGGGCCTGCAGTGGCCGCAGTGCTGGGGTTCGCAACAATTTCAACTGGGTCTGGGGTAGATTACACCGTAGCCTCACGGAGATTGTAAGGGAAGAACTATAACTATGATGTAACTTTAACACAACGATACTAGGACCATAACATTTAACTATACAAGTATGAGCCGACCCCGATACAAGGGCAGGATCACGAGACCACGGCGGGTCTAGGAGTCAAGCGAGACGGTGGGGACGAGGCTTGAATAGAGCGGGGAATACCCACGCCAACATCCCCCAAAAATCCGCATGGGTGGTTGTCAAAATTAAGGTCCCTTTTGAGGGTCCTTATTCTAGCACGGCACCTATTTAGGGTACCCAAAAAGGGACCACGATTTTGATAACCACCCACATGAGGTTTTAGGGCTTCAGCGTTCGGAGGTTGTGAGGTTTGCAAGTTCGAGGGCTACCCCGATTTATGTTCCAGGGTGCCGGGCTTGGGGGGACGAGTCTTAGGACGTCGGGCTGGAGCGAAACACTTTTGGGTGTCGGGCGGTTGTGCCTTACAAGAGCATCCCGCGCGAAAAGACGGAACAACGTAGGGTGCATTGTCATCTAGCTGAATCTAGCTACGTCTCCTGAGTGAAGGTGGTGAGCTGAAAGCGGCGGCTTCCAGGACCTGCACAAACCTCAACCCGTCCACCCTCCCTCGTTCCTCCCTTCTTGACCTCGGGATACAAAACTTCCCACAAATAGCTCAGCAGAAGTACAAGTGTTATCAGACCCATTGCCCCAGAGTGACGAACGCATCCGAGCACAGAGACTTCAAGGGGAACGGGCCGGGAGGCCTCCAAAAAATGGAAATCTTCGGCAACGACTCTGCTTTGCAGGTGCATCGCGAAGCTTCGAAGATGGCTTACACCGAGACAAGGCCGTCTTCGTTCTCTATACAAGTAGGCTGGTCACCCTTCGGGTGCTCAGATACTTCTCCGCTACCCGTGGGGTCTCGTTTAATATTGCACGGACTCTGGAGACCCAGACAAGGCCAGGGCTGACCAGCGAGTGCAGGCCACTGCACTTTTTCAACGGCTGATGGCGAACAATCACATCCTTGTTCGCCACCAGCCGTTGAAAAAGTGCAGTGGCCTGCTCCCGCTGGTCAGCCCTTTTCTTCAATAATCTTCTTCAGTCTTCCAATCGAGTCAAAGGCTTTAGCAGAAAGATGTGCAAAAATCTTGCTGCTACTCCTCCCGGGCTGGATTGGTGGTCCAATTTGGCAGGGGGTCTCCTTCGATGCCTTCGCACTCCAGGATGGCGTATCTCTCGTGTGCCGGTCGTGGGCCCAGCCTTGATCCGCATGCTCTTTAGAGGGCTTCAAGAGGGTCTCACCCAAACTCCAGCCGGTTGGAGTTCGGGCTCAACCCTAACCCTGACTCTAAGATTGCTCGAGAACCAAAAAGAGGGAGGGGGGAAGAGGATGCTCCTCTTCTTGCAACGGTGTCTCTGTGTGCGCAACGTTGCTTGATTCTCCACTTGGCGATCGCTCGAGAGCAGAGACAAACCGACGCCCACAGCTGTCCCGAAGTGCAGAAGACGCGGTGGCAACCGAGCTAGTAGCAACCCGGAATACTCCGCACGGGCAAGTTTTCCGGACTGGCGTGCTTGCATGGAGGCTGCAATGGCAATAGCAGGGAATGGATGGGCACGTTTCTCCAACTAGCAAAGCTTTTTGCGTCTTACGACGGCACTCCAAAAGGAGACAGGTGCGAGCACTGACATTAACCATCTTAGAGAAGCCACAAAAACACGTCCTTGTTAAAGTCTCACCATTCTCGCTGCAGAAGGAGCCGTGGCACTAACCGGCTTCCCGACTGCAGGGCTCCAGCAGAGGCGCTCCAAACGCTCGAAAAGGACCAACAGTGGGCGATGCAGCCACTAGGAAATCTGCTCCAACCGTGACAAGTCTTTGAGGTGACCGGTGACGTTCACCACCGAGCGGAGCTGCGCTGTAGAAACGTTGGCTGCCATCAACGATCTCGCGAAGAATTCTTCGCAAATCGTCGGTATCAGAGCTCGTGGCATGCCTGACGGCCCCTTTGAAATCCTTAGCAAGCTGATCTGCCTGTCGCAAAGCCCGTGCCACGAGGCCAAGACAGCCACAGAAAGTGCCAGGAAGACGGTCATACAATGAATTGCTACTTGGATTGTCGCAGTCGCCCTCCTGAAGCAACACTTGAAGGTCAGCGCGACAAAGGCACCGAATGTCCCGCCCACGTAGGCGAATGCCCACTCCAAGTCCCAGTGCAAGGAGAAGCTGTCTGGGCTTATGCCGTACCATGTGATGGCTGCTAGGGGGTACAACATGCCCGCTCCGAATGCGGCGGCGCCAGTGCTTAACACGCGAAGTACCCCAGGCCATTGATTCGGCAAAGGCCGCTTCGCAAGCCGAATTGGCTTGTCCCAAGAAGCCGCCAAAACGGCCTCGTCAACGCACCTTGGCTGGCATGTTCGAATTACTGAGCCTCCACATTCCACAAATGTAGGGACACTTAGTCTATGCTTAGTCCTGGGGGCAAAGAACAGCCAAGGCACCAAATCCTTGTGTAGATGCTGGACACATGATTTGGCACTACGAGCATGGACGACGACTTACTCAAAGCTCTGGCAAATGGTGACTCCCTCGGCGATTGTAACAAATTGGCAATGTCCAGATTTTGAGGATTGGACAGGAAGCAAACGTAAGCCCCTGTGGCTCCTCGTGGCCAAGAATTCGCAACCTTCTCGACAAAGTCAAAAATGCCCTGGGCCCAGCCGCGGGTGATGAATAGGTCGCACAAGCAGCCCTCCGGGTGCTTCATCACTTCATCAATTCCCAACTCACTGTGTATGCCGCGGGCCCCATCGCTACATCTGACATAGCGAACTGGTCTCGATCCGTGGCCCTGATGCTCCCTGACTTCACAGCATGATGCACTAACCGCTTGAACTGGCGCAAGTCCTCCAAGCTCACCCCCCGCTTTGCTGGCTCCACTCTTCTGTGGAGGGCCGCGCCGTCATGCACATGTTGCGGACAAAGAACCTGAAGATCCGCTTCTGTGGCGTGGGCAATGCTTGGGTTGTAGCAGTGGATCATCAAGCTCCTTGTCAGCACACCCAGAACGCCGAGGACAATCAAAGCGACAGCAAGTGGAAACCAAATCACGTTGTCTCCGCACTCGTCGGAGTTGCTTTCCCCTCGGCAGCAGGTGTAATCCAGCTTGCCCAAGTCGGCGACATCTGGAGTAGGTCCCACTACGACAAGGAAGTACCCCGGGAACCAAACACATTTCAAAGTTAGGGTGCCACCTCGGCACAAAAAATCGGTGCGAGATCGACGGCGCACGATTGGACACACATTTCGCTCACCGAAGGATCCATCTGGGCATAGATTCTCTTGCTCACGTGGAAGACCGGGCAGGACCTCCGTTGCCGGAAGAGGTTCGAAGGACTGGGTGAGGTTCTCCAGGCTCGCCAAGATCTCCCTGAAGAAATCTTGGTCGCTTGAAGCTGAAGGGTCTTGGGCTCCAAGCTGAACTGCTGGGAATCCAAGCCAGCCATAGTCGTCTGGCGAGTAGCGATTATCACCCAAGTTGGTAACGTTGTGGCCCGCCAGGTCGAAGAAGTAAGGGCTGTGGGCATGTTTGATGCGTTCACCTTCCCAAACCCACTCCATGCTTTCCTGGCCGTCTTGACAGGCACGCAGCCTTAAAGGGCGCCCGTGGTAACTGCAGACGCGAAGATCCAGCAGACCAAAAGGGCCCAGAGAACCGGAGAACTGGCCCAAAAAAACCGGAGAACTGGCCATTGCTCTCAAGCTATCAGGGGCCTTGATAATTCGACGAGAGCTCTGTGTCTTAGACTGCAACTATGCATATGTTCTCTACGAATTACTTGGGGTTTCTTGATAAGGAAATCTGATGTACGTCACCAAACCAAGGAACCACCTTATCTATCGCAAAAGTACAACTATCAATCCTACCCGTACGCCTGCGGATACATACGTACACCATAACCTATCCCAAAATTAGTCTGAATTTATCAAAATTCAATAGGATTGTGTTGGGGGCACATGAGAACCTGTGCGGTAAGGGTCTTTTTGTGTGTGCGTACAGTGTGCGGTGGGTTGTCTGTGCATGTGCGTGCGGCGCGGGCGGTGCGTGCGTACAGCGTGCGGTGGGTTGTCTGTGCCTGTGCGTGCGGCGCGGGCGGTGCGTGCGTACAGCGTGCGGTGGGTTGTCTGCGGTGTGCGCGGTTTGCGCGTGCATTGTGCTGGGTTGTGCATGCAACGCGCGGACGTGTACGTGCGGAGTGTGTGGCATGTATGCGCCGCCCACATTGGAATCATCATGAAACATGGCTGAAGCCGGCAGGGCCCATGACATTTTGCACTCCGCATGCGTCAGGCTCGAAGAGCGGTATGCCTTACTGGCGTCAAGGTACTCTACAGTCTACAGTCTACAATGATGCACAAAATTTGCCACCGGCCGGACGTCAAGCTTCACTGTTGGTGCTGCGCTTGTGGTGACGCTATGTGTTGGCTATAGACAGGTGGACTCTAGACTCCAGACTCCAGGGCCTTTAGTCTCTAGGACTCTCGCTGGTGTATAAGTGTATGTATAACATCATGGCGTCAGTGTTCCTTGATGCCCAGCAAAGAAAGGGCATGTATGCGTACGGCATCCTACGGCGATGCGTGACAGTCGGTGTCAAGATCAGGGATCAGGTCGTGCTGGAGCTGCGGAGCCTGGGTGTCGGTATGCAGGTCAGGTGAACCAGAGAGGGATAGTTCTCCGGCGGTCGCTACCTAAATCTAATTCGCCGAAGATTTCTAAGTCAACCCCAAAACCAAGAATCAAGAACCAAGAACGTAACTTAACTTAACTAAACTTAACTCAAACAGTCAAACAAATTCCAACCCGAAGTCATCGTGACGTTGCAGCGAGCCCCGCCAAATCCATCATTTCCTCGTCCTCACTCTCGGTGTTGTAGCTGAGCTCAGCCATACCACACAAGAAGACAGCAAGAAACACTGTCGAGGAGAACCTTGGCGGCATGCAGCATGTGCACAAACCCATCGCATAAGTTCTCGAATGCTCCCCACGAAAATCGTACCACGCTGTACGCGCGCACCGCCCGCGCCGCACGCACATGCACAGACAACCCACCGCACACTGTACGCACACACAAAAAGACCCTTACCGCACAGGTTCTCATGTGCTCCCAACACAATCCTATTGAATATTGATAATTGATAAGCATATCAGAAAAAAAAACAAGTGACCCCAAAGTCTAGAGTCTAGAGTCTAGACTAGACTCTAGCTCTAGGACTCTAGAATTTAGGCTCTAGGCTCTAGACTCTAGACTCTAGACTCTAGACTCTAGACTAACGACCAAGACTCGGAGACTAAGGTCGAGTCTTGTCAGAGTCTTGTCTTGACTCTTGACTTTTGACTTGAAAGAACAAATGACTTGTTGTGGATAATGTAGGTTATACTGGGAGTTGTGGTGATGCATAACTCATGACTCATAACGTCGAAAGTTACAAGTCGAAAGTCTTCGTAGTAACAAGTAACAACCGCTCATGCCAAGCAGCGCGTTGCCAGCAAAGTCTGTCATCTGCGGTTCCGATAACGGATCCATCTGATGGGGAGTGAGCTGGATGCCCTGCAAATGAAGAAGTTCTCTTCCTTGGTGTAACAGTGGAAAACACTTCAATACTTCAATACAATAGAATAGAAACACGGCAGTTGTGGTGGTGGTAGTAGCGGCGGCCGCAGTAGATGCAGTCGTGTTCGTGGTTGTAGTAGTAGTAGCAGTAGTAGTCGTAGTAGTAGTAGTCGTAGTAGTAGCACTAGCAGGAGTAGCAGTAGCAGTAGCGGTAGCAGTAGTAGTAGCAGTAGTAGTGGTAGTAGTAAGTAGTAGTAATTAGTAGTAGTAGTAGTAGTAGTAGTAATAGTAGTAGTAGTAGTAGTAGTGGTAGTAGTAGTAGTAGTAGTAGTAGTAGTGGTAGTAGTAGTAGTAGTAGTAGTTGTTGTAGCCGTAGTAGTAGTAGGAGTAGTAGTAGTGGTAGTGGTAGCGGTAGTGGTAGTAGTAGTAGTAGGATTAGTGCAAGTAGTGGAGGTGGTAGTAGTAGTGGTAGTAGCTGTAGCACTGTAGTGACATATAGTGACTGTAGGGGTTCTTTGTACTGGCACGGGCACATGTAGTAGCCGTAGCCGTAGCCGTAGCCGCAGCAGCAGCAGCAGTGGCATTAGCAGGTGCCGCAGTAGGACAGTAGAGTAGAGGTAGAATGTAGAAGTAATGTAGAAGTAGAAGTAAACTTAAATTAGAAGTAGAAGTAGTAGCAATCGTCATCGTAGCAGCAGCTGACTTAGTTAGTAATTGCTGATTACCTACAAAGAAGCGAAATGGCGGAGGCAGTAACAGTGGCTATAGTCGTCGTAATCCGAAATCAGAGATGCAGCCACAGATCCTAGCAAAAGGCGGCCTCGCTCAAGGTCAACGAGCTTCGTCGATGGGAGGATAGTTGGCACCACCTGTCGTGTACATGTTACCAGTTACCAAGTTACCATGTTGGATGTCGGAGGGACCTTGTTACTTGTTACTTGTTACATTGTTATTATTATTAGCTAACTGCTAAGCAGCTAAACTAAACTAAACTAAACAAGTCTGACTACTAGTCAGTCTACATTATATTATTATATTCGGCAGAATCTGCTTTGTAGTACTGTGCAACGATACCGATACGGAGGCTCCTCACCACACCGCCTGTGAGTGGAATCCGCCTCAATGAAAGTAGAAACTCGACGCAGGCTCAGACTGAGATACACTTGCTCCTCTGGTCTCCCTACCTATACCAAACAGGACCTCCAAAAACTAAGCCCCTCAGGCTCAAACTAGAGCTCTGACGCGAACTAGGACCTGCTGAGACGCTTACTAAGGTTCGGAGTTGAGTCCTCTGAACTGAATGCAATGGAATGAATAGAAACACAATTTTAGGTAGAAGCAGAATTAGAATAGTTATTGATGTACCGAATTGTTGACTCGATCTAGCAATATAAATCACTGACTATTAAACATTAAACTTTACATTAAACTATATTTAACTATTAACTATATTAAATATTTCATCTTTATTGTACATTGAAACGAACTACGACTAGGACTAGGACTCAGACACGGAAGAAGATCACCAATGCTGAGCTTGTGAATCCTCGAGTGACTCTAGGTGACTAGTGTCCTGTCAAGCGAAAAGAAAACACTCTGCATCGTATGCTCCCATCCCCAACCTCACCTCAGCAGAAGATGTGGGCGTTCGATTCGCATTGTGGTACAAGTCGCCGTAGCGGATCGGAGGTTTGCCAAGCTTGATCAGCGTCTCGCGCGCGTCTAGTAGGAAAATGTAGTTCTCGGTGTCTCACCAAAAGGCTCTCGAGATTCAAAACTCACAACGTAACACAAGGCATGCCATCTCTGATTCGGTACAGCTTGTGGCTTCAACGCTTCTTGAAAGCCGCAAAACTACGAAACACGAGAGCCTTAGCCTCTAGTGACTCTAGTGTCAGGCCTTTTCGGCCTTGAATCCCCGACTTTAAACTTGAAACTAACAAAGGTGAACCTCATGTACTTGAGTCTACTTAAAGAAGACCCCTGGAAGAAACACTCACAAAACTCAAAACTCAAAACGTTGCATCGCATACCTCAAGGTTCCTCTTGCTCGCGGCTGCTCAAGGTTTTGTACCACTCATTGGTCTTCAGGGCTTCCGGGATGCGCAGCGGCCACTGGATGCCCCCTCGCAATTTTAGGTGTTTAGATTTGCCTAGTGACTAGATTGCCTTGACTAGAGTTAGGTTGGTAGTTAGTAGTTAGTCGTTTAGGCGCTATGGAGTGTGGGACTAGGACCTCGGTTGAGTTAAGTTAAGAATAGATAGAATCAAGAATAAGCAGCTGAGCAGAAAGATGACAAGAAAGTTCAGCATCTTGACTTGAATGATTGAATCCAGCACTTGTTCTTGAGTCGTCAGTATGTCTAGATTCTAGAATCTAGATCAATATGAACGGCCATGGCCCCTGACTCGAACTCTCTGGACTCGTAGACTCTTACTCTCAACATACGCGACCAGTGACATGTGACTAGACTCCCGACACGCCGACACGAAGGGTCTAGAGTCGAGTCTAGAGTCGAGCCTAGACTGTAGACGGCTCGAAACTTTAAAACTAGTGGCTAGACTAGACTCTAGACTCTAGACTGGATTAGGCCATGAGCGCCGAGTGACGGGTTTCAGCTAGGTTCATGTGCAAGGACTGCCACTTTGACTTGTCTTTCACATCCATCGGGGCCGCATCTGGATCCTCGCCGGTCTCTTTGTCCTTGTCCTTGCTCTTGTCACCCTTCTCGGCCCTGTCTTTTCGCCTCTGCATGATGTCATACCGTCGTAAGAGTTCATCCTGCACGACAAAGCAGTCGTCCGGGAGCATGTAGTCGGCCTGGGCGACATATGCATGTAGATCTCATCAAGCACCAGCTACATTGCATATTGTATTGTATAGTCAGTGATTAAGTCCCCAACTCTCCAACTTCGTCCTGCTGACTGATCTCAAGGTTTAAAGTGATACTTTAATGTTTCTATATATTACAGTTTTACATACAGTAAATAGTTCAATTCATGTCTGTATATCCACACTGTGAACTCTAAACTCTATACTCTATACTCTATAGCACTCTATAGTAAATTCTAGATTCTAGACTTCAGCTGGACTCTAGCCACCACACTGATATGCGCCAACTGATAACCAGGAATCCAGATTCAATACTCACGGCTTTAGCCTTTAGACTACTCTAGACTGACGTAAGATTCTTTCAACTTTCAACACGTCCACTCACATCTGGCAAGCGACCGGCGGCTGGCACTTCAGACGACACTTCTGGAGGTTCTTCTCGAACCGTGCGAAATTCACACGATCTTGGGTTTTCGCATTGTAGCCTACAAAGTACAGGCGCATGCGCCGCTGCGGCAGGCCATAATCCTGTGAATTCAAGTGGTATGCCCGAACTGTGTAGCCGATCTCGGACAGAGCCTTGATGATGAGTCCGAAGTTGGAATCACTGTCCGCAGCCGTCGCGCTGCCGTCTGATCCTGTGCTCTCCATATCCACATTCTCGAGCACAAACCAGTCAGGCACGAAGGTCTGTAGCGCACACACACATCCATTGAATGTCGACACCGAGCTTGCATCCTGCAATCTTAAAACTTAATACTACCAATATCAGACTAGCAAGCTGCCTGAATCCTTTGTCTTTACTACACAACAGTGTCGTAGTCATGTCCTTTTTTTTAGGCTTTGGCTTTGACCTTTGAACTTTGTTGTTCAACTTCTGTGCTCAAGCTAACATGTAGCCTTGTCCTTGGTTACAATGTCAATGGAATGAACAACATTAACGAAAGAAAGAAACTTACTCAACATACTTGACTCAACACTGAACAAGCAACACAGGGAACACCGACTTGACTCGACTTGACTAGACTTAGTGACATTGGTAGGTTGGTAACTCAACTAGGATAAACGGATAAACTGATAAACTGAAAAAAAACGTGAATCGCAATATATGGCCTTGGCTCGACATACATAAACGTAACCGTTGCCGGTACCGTCCACATTAGTAGTTTCAACTTCAACCATGCAACAAGTGAGACATGACTGACAAAACTTGACATACCATAACCGACTGTAGACAAGCTTTATAAGTTTACAAGTTTACAAATACTTACTACAACACTGCTACTGTTACACTGTTACAACATGTTACAACACTTACAACTTAACTTACAACACCAAACAGATTCATCATGATTCATTCATGATTCGTTAAACTTGAAAGTTGAAAGTCCGGGATGTCCTGGTTGTCATCCTTCATGGCTGTTTTCATGTTCTTGGCATCCGGGTGCAGGCGACTGAACGATCTGCACGAGAAGCCACCGTTGAAAAACCATAACGTTTCGGGGAGATCCTTGGCAGTAGGTAGGTTTCATGCATCACAAAG